CAGAGCTTTCACCACGGCGGCTTTAGTCTCAGCCAACCTGAACACAACAACAGCTCTCAGAGATAACCGTTTGGCCTTTGGTGGTGGATGAATTATATTACATTACATGTCATGGTGGGAATTGCTGACCTTGTCATCTAATTTGATGTATTTTCCAAAAACCTCAACCCATTACATGAGAACAGAGAATGTCTTCATTGGAATAATTTCTCACAATCCACCACTACCTGAATGAGTTGCTCACACAGTGGAGGAAGTGATTACCTCTCCCAGAGAAAAGCTTCCTGTATAGGTGAACACTGGAGCTGACCCTTCATGTAGGCTGTAGCATCATGGGTGAAGGTGGAGATGGTTCTCAGCGAGGTCCGAGCCTCCAACATGCTGCTGTCACTGTAGTCTACAGCTGTGGAGACACCACGAGAACCCCCCAGGGTTCTTTCATCAGACACAGAAAACTAAACCTCTCCATCCCGTAGGGATGTTTTTATAAGACGTTGGACAAAAGCACAGCACCAAGAGAGCCACCTGATCTGTATCTGGTCAACAGGCAAAACATCCGGAATTCATTGGCAGAGTAAGACTGCAGGAAATCCTAAAGGAGGAACAAAGAGGAAACCTATATGGTCTACATATTTCTTACACAATGTGGAGATTAAACAGTCAGTAAGTGATGCGTCACATAGGACAACCTTACCTTGATGCTGATGAAGTTCTTTAAAGATTTTGACATTTTCTCGGCACTGCCTTTTAGGTGCAAGTGACCTAAAAACAACAACCAGGTGCAGCGATTCAGGAAGAGAAACAATAGCTTCCTCTCATGTTTAGAGAGGGAGCCACATGACAGGTTATTTTAAAGGAGCATACAGAGGTCTAGGAGCTGAACCAGATGAGATTCAGGACTTACCTGAGTGTAGAAAGTAGTTGGCCCACTGTCCACACTGGTGATAAGCCTCACTCTGAGCGACCTCATTCTCATGGTGAGGAAAGGCCAGGTCGATGCCTCCAGAGTGGACGTCCAGCTGTCTCCCAAACACTGAGCTGAAAGCAGCACAGAGACAATAAGAAGTGCCACCATACACCCCCTGCTGCTGCTAACTATTACTGATAATACTGCTACTCTCACTCAGTCTTTTCTAATTGATCACTCTGATCACATGACATCATTTTCTCTCCTGGCAGTGAAATCCATCCTCTTCATTTCTTTTGCAGTAACGGTTGCACCGGTGAAAGGTAAGCGGATGTTGTATATACACAAATGATGAAGCCCTCTGGGATGACTTTTTGATATTGGTCTGAAATTACACTGAATGAAGCCATCCATATGTAGGAGCCACATTTAAGTTCATGTCCATGTATTTAAATAACTCATTTTTGTTATTTTTATTCATGTCGAAAGCAAAGTGCCCCTACAGGTGATGCAGGCGCTCCTATAAACTGGTGTGAATGGCACATAGTTGGGGGAGAAACGGGTTACGGACGATACCGTCTATGACCTCGGCCTCAGCCCTGTGACTGCGCCTGATGGTGATTGGCATCATCAGGCATCCAAACAAATTGCTTCTTATCTTTCCTTTATGTTTTGCATTATAATAAATAACAAGCAAGTAAACAACAAATTGCTCCTGGTTTTCTGTTCGGGTCAGACAACTGGACCCGGTCTCCCTGCGTGGTTAAAACTAATAGGACGCATAAACGGGCCAAAAGCAACTAATCTTAGGCGCAACACTATTGATTTCCAAAAGATATGGCCAAACCTTATTTATACTAGTGGTAGAATAAGTATTAGAAGCACCTCGAAAGATCCCAAACTACAATCCCAACACACAGTATTATTATCATTATTGGTGGTAGTATGGTATCTTTAGAAACCCCTCTAAAATGCTCACAGTTTCATCAACACTCCATGAGGATCACAGAGCTGTTGGATGAGACTCACTCAGGGTCCGACTGTTGAACCTGAAGGGCGCGGATATTAATAGAAGATTCAATCCAAACCTAGCGATGGTGGAACATTCAATGTGCCAGCCCGGTCTTCCTCTCCCCCACGGAGAGTCCCAGTACGGCTCCTGAGGTTTGGACTGCTTCCACAGAGCAAAGTCCCTCCAGTGACGTTTGTTGGATTTTACTGGAAAGCAGTGCAGTTTGTTGTCCTTTAGTAAAGCTTATTTACACAACATTAGCCCATATACAAAACAAAATGAATTGAACTGCTGTTTGCAGCAATAAGTGGTCAATTGTACGAGGTGGAAAAAAAAGAGGGACGAGCACACCGAATTAGTAGAGAATCCGGTTCATTTTCAAAATAAAAACTTTTCAGAGAAAAAAAAGTCAAATGATAAAAATAAAAACAATGTATTCTTTCCATGGTGTGGCCCAGTACCAAATGGTACTACCACCTGGTGTTGTATAGGGTAGGTACTACCACGTATTCTTTATGTGTGGTCTAATTAGACGAAATGACTCACCAGGTTCTACGTGAGAATCTTCTACAGCTCCCACAAACTTTCCGTAACGGTGACCAATGGACTGGATGTCAAAATACACATCACCTACAGTCAAGACACACCACAAACGATGACCCGGGTAAAGAGCAGATAATGGCATAATCTATGGCAGTTCCCATGACAGGAACTGCTACACAACTGCTCACCTTCTTCTGTTGCATATGCGTGTCCGTTGTTGATGATCCCCTCAATAAAGGCCACAATGTGATGGACATTCTCTGTGACTCTTAGATACACTGCAGGAGGAATCACCTCAAGAACAACAACACAAGATGACGTTTAGAGATAAACACGCATTACACATGTTTGCACTTTAATTATACGAACATGTTCAAATGAAACATAGACTTGGACATGACAGGTGGAGTAACAACAACTACTGTTGGATTACATTTAGACATGGCACCATTACACTCAAGGGAAGACATATCTATTCAATTGTGCAACTCATACCAAAACAATTCAAATGGAAGAAGACCACCACAGGAACGAGGTAAGATATTGGTTATTGGTTTTGTGATCAGATAATTCATCATTCGTGCCTTCCTTGTAGTGTGTTAAATGTAATGAATGTCCTCACACACCTGTAGTGACAACATGTCCCTCTTGAATTCCTCTTCATACATTGTGGCGATGGTGGTTGTAGACACATTCTCCTACAAAACAAGCCCATCTCCTGAACACGGATGCTGTCACATCATAGATAACACAGCCTGTGTGTGTGTGCATGTATGTATGTCTGTCTACACTCACCGGCCACTTTGTTAAGTACACCTGTTCAATTGCTTGTTAACACAAACAGCTAATCACATGGCTGCAACTGAGTGCATTTAGGCACCGTAGATGTGGTTAAGAAAACCTGGTGAAGTTCAAACCGAGCATCAGAATGGGGAAGAAAGGGGATTTGAGTGACTTTGAACATGGCATTGTGGTTAGTGCCAGACGGGCTGGTCTGAGTATGTGAGAAACAGCTGATCTACTAGCATTTCTATGCACAACCATCTCTAGGGTTAACAGAAAACGGTCCGAAAAAGAGAAAATATCCATTTAGCCAAAATGTCTTTTTGATGTGAAAGGAGAATGCAGACTGGTATGATATGATAGAAAGGCAACAGTAACTCAAATAACCACTCGCTACAACCAAGGAATGCACAATGCCATCTCGGAGCGCATGTGGAACCTTGAAGAGGATGGGCTGCAGCAGCAAAACACCACAGCAGGGGCCACTGCTGTCTGCTAAGAACAGGAAACAGACTACAAGTCGCACAGGCTCACCAAAACTGGACAATAGATGATTGGAGAAATGTCGCCTGGTCTGATGAGTCTCCATTTCAGCTGCAACAGGTGGTAATGGTGTGGGGGATATTTTCTTTTCTTTTCTTTCTTCTTTGGGCCACTTAGTACCCATTTAAATGTCACAGCCTACCGGAGTATTGTTGCTGACCAGGTCCCTATTGGCTACATCCAGCATGATAATGCACTATGTCACAAAGCTCATACTATCTCAAACAGATTTCTTGAACATGACAATGAGTTCCATATACTCCACTGGCCTCCACAATCACCAGTATGGACCAAAACCTCTGGGGAATGTTTCCAACACCTTGTTGGAACTACGCCATGGAGACCTAAGGCAGTTCTGAAGGCAAAAAGGGGGTCCAACCTTTTGCTAGCAAGTTGTACATAATAAAGTGGCTACTGCGTATGTGTGTATATATATATATATATATATATATATACACACATACGCAGTGGTATATATATATATATATATATATATATATATATATATATATATATATATTTGTATATTCAATATACCTCCAGACTTCTTCTGATGATCTTGTCATCGATGTCTGTGATGACCATGGCATGGATCACAGTGATCCCAAACAACCGGGACAGAATTCTCTGCAGGATGTCAAACCTGACATACGAGCTGTGACGAGACAGATGCAAAGACACGTGACTCCAGACTTGAACGCGGGAGCCCTGAACATGAAACCCAACATGCATGTCATTACCAGGCATGACCAAGGTGTGCATGGTCGTAGACGGTGGGTCCACAGCTATACCTGTTATACATACAGAGTGGGGGTTACAAACACATACACGCGCGCGCGCAGCGTGTACACAGTCATCATTGAACAAGTGTGCTCTGTTACCAGGTGGCTACTCCTTCTCTGGCCACAATGAAAGGCTCTTTCTTTTTGCTCAGGCTGTTGAACACCTTTAACCCCGTGTTAAACCCGCTCGGGGTCACCCACGTTTTCCCTGGAGCCCTGCTGACGTCACACGATGCCTTCGGTCTGGACCTCGCTGACTGAGCAGCACGCACAGCCCCACCGAGGACCTTAGTTCTGGTCCACATAATGACACCTGGCTATCTGTGAAGCATGCTAACATGTTAGCACCTGGACTGCTCGCGTGTGACGTAAATCCTTCTCGCGAGAGTCACATACCGGAAGTGTTCCTTCGTGTCATGTGATATAGCTGGCTCAGTGCTCGAGTAGCTATGTTGAAATAACTTGTATTTTCACCGAACAGTAGAGGACTTAGAGAAGAAGATGCAGAACGTGATAAACACAGTGAAGGGGACGGCTTTGGGGGTGGCCGAGTTTCTCACCCCGGTGTTGAAGGTAAACATACTCACATTAAAGCGGGTAGCTTGTTGATAGCCAACACATGATCATAGCAACTGTCACTGTTAGCGCTACAAACGGTGGTTGATACCAACTTAAAGCCTCGTGGATGATCGACTCTCTAACAGTGGGACAGTGCTTAATATTCAGCTACAGCTACTCACGTTTCACCTGTGGTTCTGTTGTCAATCACAGGAATCCAAATTCAAAGAGACTGGAGTCATTACACCAGAAGAGGTGAGTTCATACTAGTTCCATGTTACGGGCCTTTTGACCACCTCAGTATACTGAATCCTCTCCCTTTCTTACTGAAGTTCGTAGCAGCTGGGGATCACTTGGTTCATCATTGCCCCACATGGAAATGGTGAGTGTGTTTCACAGCGATATGAATTCTTAATTACTACATATGCGATTATTAGCTCTTTGAAGCATGATTGAAGTGATTTCACAGATCAAATAGACCTTTTTATATAGTATCACAGAGGTTTGCTGAGGACTATGGAGAGAACTGCTATAACGTAGTCTGCTTTGTGATGTGGTGATGTCGTACTGTGGTCATAGTTAAGTAGCATTTAGATAAATGAGAACTAACATATAGCATGTAAAACTTCACATTTAAAGTAAAGGTTCTGCTATGTATACATGTTTAATTCAAATGCTCATGATAATTTCAATGATGTTGTAAAATATGTCCCATTGTGGGGATTCTGGTTATTGCAATGATTGCATTCCACACAAGACACTAATTCAGAGAGAATGAGAGCGGTCAAACAAAATGGAAGCTGAAGCGATCGCTGCAGATGCACAGCCTCGTTTTCTTTAACATCACCACCAAAGCGTCATCCAGGTGGGCTTGTTAATACGGTCCCACTGCACACACAGCAGAGGGAAAATGACTGGAGTCCACAGAGTGGTGAAACATCCTCAGCCTGGTACTGAAGGAATGAACAGCTATAAACCTCCACCCGCTTTCTTCATCTTTCCAGTGTAAAGCCCACATCCATCCACCCACACAGCAGTCCATTGAACGGAATAGCTTTAAGTTGAATTAAGTGAGCACCAGGTAGTGACCAAAGTGCAAACGGAAACTCACAACACGCATGCAGCCACAGCAATTAATACCAACACAAGTGAGTGCTGCAGGGACGACACATTCTTCATATCTGGTTCCCTCAACAATAAACCAATAGGATTTTTCCATTTCCATTTTGAATTCTTGTTTCTGTTACTCTCACGTCTTGTTCAGCAAAATAATCAAAATAACCCCACTCTATTGATTTATGAACCATGACTCAATTGTTAAGTAACGACCAAACATCACTAAAATGAATGTGGATTCAGTGAAATCTAAAGTAAAGAGGAGTCCTTTGTTTTCCTTTCGGTGGTTCCATCACATTCAGGGCGTCTGGGGAAGAAGTCAAGGTGAAGCCATATCTGCCCGAGGATAAACAGTTTCTCCTGACACGCAATGGTGAGAGGAAGAGACAACTTTATAATAATAATAATAATAATAATAATGACAAAGCAAATATGAAACTGAATTATTTAACATGTCACAGAAAAGGCGCTTTAAAATGAATTTAAATATTTTTTTCGGATAAGTATAAACATTGAGAAATAATTTAAAGTTTCTATACTGAATGGTTTTAGGTCTTTATCAATGGTTATTGCTTTTGAACAATTTCAAATGAAAAGTGTAAACATTGGTTTCATTTAATAGCCTCCTTTTTAATGAAGGATTTAGTTTAGTGAAGTTGACTCAGACTGTGGAGGGTGAGCCTGTCTGCGCTGCTCATTTTTAAGTCACTTTTGTATTCAGCTCATTGTGTGTGCTTCTAGTCTCTGTTCCAACTTCCTCTGGTTTGTTTTGCAAGAGACTAAATCCTTAACAGTTAATCGATGCAGTCATCAAAGACATTTTTGGAAATCCCTCGGTTGGTGTTGACACCCCCCTTCTCTGTGTTTGCGGTCTGCCAGTTCCCTGTTACAAGCGGTGTAAACAGATGGAGTACTCCGATGAGCTGGAGGCCATCATAGAGGAGGATGATGGAGATGGAGGCTGGGTGGACACTTACCACAACTCAGGTTTGACTTTATTTCTCAACATCCACACGTTGCCTACACACATGGCTGCATCCACTTGCCATTTTATTCATACAGTCCAGTCTAATTAATGGAGTATGTGTAATTGTTTTTATGTGAACGTGTTATTTTGGTATTACAGAAACTATAAGAACCGGCTAAAAACTTCTTTGATCGAAGCCATGACGTATTCAATGGGTTCAACCCATTCTCAAACCCTGTGCTAATCAATTCCAGTTTTTAGGATACTGTCATTCGCATTCAAAGGATGACAATGCTCGGAATCCTTTCCTGACATTATTGTGTTCCAACAGGTTTGTTAGGAGTCACAGACGCTGTACAGGATATTTCACTGGACAATAATAAGGTATGCTTCAAAAATGTGTTGGTTCTATTAGTCGGGCCCGTTACGTTGTGTAACGTTTATGTTGTACCCGCTGGTCCTCCTGTGTGAGGGTTCCTCCCACAGTCCGAAGACATGCAAGTAGGTGATTCATGTTGGCTCTGTGGACTGCAGCCATCAGCTGGGATCATCTCCTGACCCCCAATTATCCCCTTGATCAAGGGGGCGTAATGCAGGAGGCATTATAAGATGTAAATAAAGCTCCTTGCGTTCCTCCCACCTGAGGAGCATCTCCCGGCCACAGGTTTGGTTCTTTACTGACCAGATGCTGTGGATTCCATGGCCGTCCTCTGAAACCATTTGACGATTGATGTTATTAAATTCCTTCATGTAACCTTTTTGAAATGTTCACTGTGGGCCTTCCCACATTCTACCAAATGGCGATCATTTAGTCAGAACTTCTATAGATGCTAAATGGGTCTTTTTTAAATTTTACTTCCTCTAGGACAAGAATATGAATGGCAGAACTGCAGCATCATGTGATAATGATGAAGATGATGATGATGAAGATGGAGACGCAGCAGATATGGAAGGTACTGATGGTAATTACCAGTACCTTTTGTGGGTCTATCGGACGGCCTAACTAACTGGATTGTCCTTCGTGCTATCTTCTCAGAGTACGAGGAAAGTGGCCTTTTGGAAACCGATGAGGTAGGTGTCTCAAATGTCATATCATTTCATGGTGGCTCTAATACCGTCCTCAGTCCAACTGGCACCTCTCTTCTCCCTACAGGCGACCCTGGACACCAGTAAAATGGCGGAAGCCAAAGCAGAGCCTGGGAGCGAAGATGCCATCCTTCAGACTAGAACATATGACCTGTACATCACTTATGACAAATACTATCAGACCCCTCGACTCTGGCTCTTTGGATATGATGAAGTATGTACCTGGGACACATGGGGCTTATAGTGCTCATGTAGAGAATCTCACTTGGTTTGCATGTACATGCATGCTTCTCTGGCACAGTAAAGGTTGCCAACTCTTTAGTCTTAGTCAATACTGATGTGTTTGGTCAATAAGTTGTTTTTAAGCTTCTTCTGTGCTGGGTCACTTATTTAAGAGAAACTTGAATAAGTTAAAACTCAGCACACCTCTGGTAAACATGAGATCTAAAGTTGTGCTTTCACACCATTCTCTGACCTGGAATCTCTTTAGTTGAGGACAGTAGTAATACACGATGAGCTCATGAAGCTTTTGTGGTGTCCTCCAGGACAGGCAACCATTGACTGTAGATCAGATGTACGAGGACATCAGCCAGGACCATGTGAAGAAGACGGTCACTATTGAGAACCACCCCCACCTTCCTCCACCTGCCATGTGCTCTGTCCACCCCTGCAGGTGAGAAAGACAATGGAAAAGCATCTAAGCGTCCTCCTTTTAGATGCACACATGCAGCTTTGAGGAGACACCAGTGGACCCATTCATACCTGACTTTGTCTAGGTTGTATTATGAAACCATTGCTTGTAGATGCTTGAAGCTTTCTGGCCTTGCACACATAAGACATCATCTGTTGTCTATGATCCATGTCGTATGTGAGTGTGTGATGCTAGAAAGCTGACCAGCTGGTACATCAGGCTCCCTCTAGGAGGAATCAGTGTGTGTATTTGCACTGTATGCTATTCTTTATTTTCTGCCTGTAAAACACTGGGCTGGTGTGCTCTAGAAATGAGTCTTCATTGTTATTACAAGTATGGTTGTTATTACCACTCAAGTATCACTCAATATATTTATAAGAAGTGTTGAATAGATTATGTGGTTATCACGAGCAAGCTTAACTGCTTATTGGTTGCCTGGTCATAGAGACCAATCCCCAGGGGGCAAACCTACTCTGAGTCTTTAAAACCTCACTAGGAGACTAACCAAAGAGAGTTGTTAAATACAGTGCTTTCTATCCAGATGTGTTTCATTGAGGAATCTCAAACTGAGTACTGTGTGTAGTGATTGCTCAAAGTGTTATTATAGGGGTGACTAATACTGTGCTAAAAATGATCTTCCTTTGCTTTCAGACATGCTGAAGTGATGAAAAAGATCATAGAAACTGTGGCAGAGGGGGGAGGAGAGCTGGGAGTGCATATGTATCCTTTCATGGTGATAACCACTTACAATGTCTTCTTCTGGGACACATGACACTGGCTCTGGTCGACTTTTACTATGGTGCTATATAACACTTGGGATAAAGTATACTTTATTTAGTGATGCAGCCTGTTCAAAGGCACTAAGCAGTTAGTTAGCAGTTAGTTATCTAACCCCTTTTCTGCTAAAGGACTTATGTTGCGTCGTATTTCCGAAACCTGCAATTTATTGGGTCATCAGCGCCTTTCTCCGGCCACTATACCGCACATTGCGAGCATTTAAACGTGCAAGTGAATGGACCTCCTTCTGTCTTTATATCAGCCAAAGTCAAAACAGCAAAAACTAAAAATCAGTGACAACAAAGTTGATGTGTTATTTGGGCGTTAGTGGTGGAGAAACGTCTGTATTGACTGATGCGCTGTAGCAAAGTGTTACGTACTTGTGCTGTTATACGGCTGAGTGCAGACTGCGATTTTCCCTCAGCTGATGCTATGACTGTTTGAAATGATCCCAATGCCAATAATTGTACTATAGAGAGGAGTTTAACAACGGATGAAATGGAATGTGAACGCTGAGTCGGAGATGCGACGTCATCTTTGATTTCGTCCCGTAGCTGTAATATTGCATGGCTCCTTAATCTGTAACGCATAAGGATTTTGTGTTCACTCAACTGAAAAAGTGTGATCCTTGTGGCAAAAATCCGCTCGTCTCCGTGGCCGCATTTCGCCGTCTGGCTCGGATTACTGCTGCAATCTTATCAGCAGCCGTGTGCGTTCTGGTTTACACCTGCTTTTAAGAAGCAGAGAATTATCATCCCAAAATGGAGCCGCACTTCCACAGGTGATTTCTGTACATAACGCGGCATACAAAATTACACACACTTTACACATCCCTTCCCATCTCTTTATGGGGAAACTCCCACTTTCCCCTTGACCCTCCTCTGAATGCATGTGCATGACACGGAAAGTGCAATTTGCCTTTTTTGTACTGTTTCTGCGACAGACAGTGTGCGCTTTTACCTCAGTGAGGCTTGTTTGTACATACCTTACCATGCTTTTACGCGCACATTGCCAAACGAATACGCCTGAAGTGGGCGCAAAAGCGTTCGTGCATGAGGCCCTGAGTGTTTCCACACACGGTTACAGCGTGAACAGGGGGGGCAAAGCTCACAGCCCTGGGGGGCTCTAGTGAGAAGGAGGTGCTGGGTCTGTTACTGAGGACCAGTTACAGAGGGAGGAGCTCAAGATCAGAGTACGGAGAACATTGTGATGTAGGTGTTGGGTTAGTAAATACCCCCCTTGTTGAGATTGTTTTGGTACCATCAACTACTGCTAATGGCGTTCGGTGTGGATATTCTTTGGTAGGTGGTGATTGGTAGATCTGTCCTCATAGTGAATGAATGCTTACCTGATGCCTCATCTGTTTCCCTTAACTGACACACTCAGGTATCTTCTCATTTTCCTCAAGTTTGTCCAAGCGGTCATTCCTACAATAGAATACGACTACACAAGACACTTCACCATGTAGCTTCCTACACCCCTGCCTCTACTGATGCACCATGGGAAACATCATCTGTGTTGAGATTATATCGGGTCTGGTCTGATTACAATCCGATAGTGTTTGTGTGACTCAGAGACACTTTGTGAGGGAAATGTTGGGAGCTATGTGACAAATTGTCTTTTAAAGCAACAGTCTGACATTTTGGGACACTGACCCAGAGTCAGAGAAGAAGATTAGTATCTGTTTCATCTGTGTGTGTGTGTGACATGAGAAGTGCACCTTTCACAGCCAGAGCTGTGTGACCTTGCGTGAAGAGAAACAACCCACCTTTGACAGAGCTGACTTGTAGCTTCTTCAGTGCTAAGCTATGCTAACCACAACTTAGACCAATACAAATGAAACCGATATCAATCTAGCAGCTAGCAGACAAAGCTTTGTAACGTATGTTGGACTGCTCCTCTGAAGTTCCTCTCCACGTTTGATGTACTTTAATGTGGTGATCGCTTTCAGAGCCCTTCTTAAAGCGCTTAAAAAGCTCTGCCCATTCCACACTGCTCGGCCGCCTGTCATGTAAAAATAACATTACACCTGTTTTGCAGTGTTCTCGACTCCTTCAAAACACAATGTTTTACTGCGGAACATGCTGCTTTACCACAGTTAAACCGTGCGGGAGAGAGCACAGTAGTTATGTGCTGAAACAATATGCATGCCGGGCTTCTCTGTGGCTCCTCACTGCCAGTCAGCTCTTCATGGGCATCCACTTCCTGTACATCGTGGATCAGGTTCAACAGGGAGGGTCTGTGTTTTTTGTACAGCCACACCAGTGTAGAAGGTGTCTGTCTACTGGACCCTTGCGTCACTACATTTACTGCTCTCTTCATGGTGCTCTTTGTAGAAGGCATGGCTGAGCCCTGTTAGTGTTGCTGCCAGCCCAACCCAGTAATACTTCATTTTCTGAATGTGTTCATGGCCAGACCTTTTCGTCCATATATGCTTCTTGTGGTTGGTTCACATTGTTTTATTCTTAGGCTTCAACGTGTACTTCAATAAACTACTAAAATACTTGCTGCTTTGTGTCTAACTAAGTGTGTGTCCACTCTCTCAGTCTACTGATTGTGGGTCAGGTTATCCCTCAATACTGCCTGTAGGCCCAGTATCCTGACTCCACCTGCTAAGTATATTTAAACCCTTTACTTACGTTTAGCATACCGGTTGTATTGCTGCTCCACCGTCACACCAGCAGATGGCCAGAGTGAGCCTAGAGGTTGTCCATGTAACACCACCGAGGAAGAAGCTCACGAGCACCGTGAGAGGGGCCCTGAGTCCGCGCTGCCGAGTCCATCATGGCCGTGCTGGACCAAACTGTGCTGCTATGTGTGTACGGCTTCTTCTCCAACCTCCGGCCCTCGGAACCGTTCCTCACCGCATACCTCCTGGGCCCGGATAAGAACCTCACCGAGAGCCAGGTGAGTTAGCATCCTAGGCTACCTGCTACGTCACTGAGCACGAGCACCAACGGCTGACAAACCCTTGCATCACACGTGAACTTGGTTGCGTTCGTTTCCTCAGCAGTGCGTGCGCGCGCGGTTACTCGTTTACAGTTAGTAGGTCAACAGGCTCTCCTGTGTTGTCAGAAAACAGGACATATATGAAATAACAAGACCGAATAGAATATATTTAGAATAAATATAACGTTATAGGAAAATAAACATAAAGCGCAGGGGGGCGGCCGGCCGGCACAACGAGATTCTAAACATTGACGCACTAACTTCTCCATAATGGATTATACAAAGATTACACAAAGGTTCTCTGTGAGAGAGCACAGACTTTCGGTCGTCTTAAGTAATTTTGATTTAGGAGAAACTTTAAACTTGATTTAAATTCTCACTTCTACCGTTGTAGCAGCTGACCCTGCTGGGTCATCATGGGTTGCAGCTGTAGCAACACTGTAGCTGTTAAGCAGCATACTCAAAATCCAACTCTCAGTATCCCTCTTGGACGATTCCCCCATCCTGTGGAATGTTTGGTTAATCCTCAAATAATTGCGAAAGTAAACTGGCACTCAAATTTGTGGGCAGTCCTCAACGCATTAAGCAGCGTTGAGCGGCTTAAAAAGTCAAATAAAGTGAACTGAAGGACTTCAAATATTCTTCATGTGAGTGTTGATCTGGTGTCTGCAGGTGGTGAATGAGGTCTATCCAGTTTGGACGTATTCCTACCTGGTGCTGCTGTTCCCCATCTTCCTGGCCACGGACTTCCTGCGCTATAAGCCTGTGTTGGTCCTGCAGGCCACCAGCTTAGTGGTCACCTACGTCATGTTGCTGAAGGTGCAGGGCGTGCTGGCCATGCAGCTCCTTGAGTTCTTCTTCGGACTGGCTACGGCCTCGGAGGTGGCCTACTACTCGTACATCTACAGCGTGGTGGAGCCCAAGCACTACCAGAGGGTGACGGGCTACTGCCGCAGCATGGCGCTGTTTGGATCAGCTGCTGGATCTCTGACTGGCCAGCTCCTTGTCTCTCTGGCCAAAGCTCAGCTGCTCCACCTGGTCATCATCACTCTAACCACAGCCGCCGTGGCCTTCCTCGCTCCCTGGTTTCTACCCATGCCCAAGAGAAGTTTGTTCTTCCACAAGAGTCTTGAGATGGAGGAGAAGCCACGCAGTACAACCGCTCTGCTAGAAAAGGCAGAGGACTTGGAGACCCAACTGCCTCTCCACAGCCAGGCCATCTCCACAGTGAGTGGCCGTGTGCTGTGGCCAGGTCACACTGTGGGCGTGATGGGGATTCATCTGTTGACATGTCATAACTCCCCTTCATGCAGATACCCAGGTCCACTGAGACAGGAAGTCTTCACAGCGGTCTAGTCGAGGTGCTGCAGGTGCTGCTTGCGGACTTCCTGAAGTGCTACAGGTGTCCTTCCCTGCTGGCCTGGTCCCTCTGGTGGGCTCTGGCCACTTGCGGCTACTTCCAGGTCATCAACTACGCTCAGGCTCTATGGGAGAACATCCGGCCATCCCAAGACAATGAAATCTACAACGGCTACGTCGAGACTCTGGCCACGCTGCTCGGTGAGAGGCTGATGATGTAGTCATGATCTTGTGATGATGGAGTGAGTTAACCAACATGTGGGCATGGAAAGAAGTGGGTCTTCTCCTACCCTGGCACAGCCCTGGCCTCCGACCGATGAGTAAAGGGTGTTCCTAACCGCTGTGTGTTCTGCTGGTACACAGGGGCCCTAGCGGCCTTGCTGGTGGGCTGCCTGCCTGTGTGCTGGTCTGTGTGGGGGGAACTAGCTCTCTGTGTCCTGTCCCTGCTGATGGCTTTGTGTGTGTTTGCTATGGACACACTGAGGAACATCTGGCTGTGTTACAGCTCCTATGTCCTCTTCAGAGCTATTTACATGCTGCTCATCACCGTGGCAACGTAAGTACGAGGAGGCAGTTTTAAATGTGAGATTCTACTCTGTATTCTCTAGCGTGAGACAACCCACCCACTACTACTGAGGTAACCGGCCCCCCCGTGGTCTGCTCTTTGACTCCACAGATATCAGATAGCAGCCAGTCTCAACATGCAGCGTTACGCCCTCGTGTTTGGGGTGAACACCTTCCTGGCCCTGCTGCTGCAGTCTCTGCTCACGGTGGTGGTGGTTGACTCAGCCGGCCTCGGCCTCGATGTCTTTACTCAGGTGAGGCGCAGAACAAGCTCCGCTGACCTTCGCTGGCCTAAGTTAATGTGCCTGGAGCATTCTTTATTGTTTCCCTCCTCCTGCAGAGTAGATGTGTCTGATGGATGTCTCGTTTCCTTCCCTCAGTTCCTCATCTATGGCGGATACTTTGTTGTTATTTCGGTGGTCTTCCTGCTCGCTGGCCTTTACAAGTTGGCCTCAAGGAGGCGCTCCAAGCAGCAGCAGGAGCAGGTCCTGGCCAACGGCCGGGCAGAAAGCCAGTGCGACTCCCCTCCAGTAAGCTGAAGAAGGTTATTGATGGCGCCTAACATCCTAAACAAAGCCGCATGAGTGAGTGAGCACAGTGACCTCATAGACCCCCGAAGGAGCCACAGAGCTGCTGCCTTGTGTGGCGACTCCAGAGAATCTCCAACTGTATTAACCTTCATTGGCCACTAAATGGACGAGTGCCTCCAAACTGACTAAGGAGATGTTGCTCTACTGATTCATTCTATTGGTGTTTAATGATGTTCAACACGGACTGAACTATGCAGGAAAGATGAGGTAGATCCACAACAACAGTCCCAAGTATGTTCATACATACCCTGGTCCTGCGATTCATGGAATATAAAGGATCAGAGCTTCTCTGAACTGCCTCTCTGCTGATTCCACACCATCATCTGCTATTTACCTCGCACATTGTTTCTGTAAGTTTCCCGGCTAATGGAACTTGGTGCCTTAGACGTGGCGTGAAAGAGAATGTTACTTTAATAGTTCACGAGAACAAGATATGTATTTCCTGTAACGCTGTAGATGTGTGTTTGGTACGATCATCGATTATGATTGGCACTGATGAGTATCTGAATTAGTTATCAATGTGGCTTTGATGAATAATGTCTTTATTATTGTTAGCCACCTTATATCTGTACTAGATGTGAATTACTGCAACATCTAGTACAGATATAAGTGTCAACAGTGTCCATTATTGGGTCCATTCTCAGTCTATTGGTCTTCTCCACTGGAATAAGTTATTTTCTCAGCGTCAAAGGCTGTTCCCAAATCCTCTGTTTGTAAGCAGATGAGGGAAGAAGGAGGAGAAATGTCTGAGGAGCATGAAAGCACCTTCCAGGAAGCGTTTTCGCAGAGTGAAGACGAATCACAGATTAAACTCTTGTTCTATAATGTATTATAGTTTTCTGTTTTAATTATACATTGATGCCTGTGCAACAAAATAACCTCAAATAACTATTAGAATAGTCTCTAATGTGTTATAATGAATGCAGTTAAGGTCAGAGAGATGGAATCAATTTAACATCATTTAATTCAGTCACATGAGAATTATTGTTACTGAGTGTTGGGTTTTAATGCGCTATGCCATTTCAATTTACCCTGAATGAGAAGCATATTCTGGGTTATTTAGAGATTTTGGAGAGACTTGTGTTGAACTCGTTGATGTGTTATTAGTCCACAGTGGATGTAGATGTATATGTCTCTGAGATGTATACTGCATACACACACACCCCCATTGCAGGTTTGGACCTGCTCATGGGATGTGTAGCCAGAAAGGAAAATATAGAACATGAGTAGACATATCTTTAATGTGGAAAGTAATGACCAAAATATTGTCTGACATCAACCAAATTAATTCATGAGAAATATAAATTGCCAAATGTAGACTACAGATACATGAGAAGCGAGAACACGTCTCCTACACGCAAATGTGCACTCTAGAAAGCCACAGAGGCAATAACAGATTATGTAGCAACAAATGATAATTCCTTTGAGTGTTCAGATGAGATGTGTAGCCAGCGAAGTACTGTTTCAGGTGCTTGGGTTAGTTTATGCCACTGATGAAATCATGTGTCACTTTTCACAATCATAACCGTGTTAGTTTTTCGACATGCGTATGAATGATGTTTGTAAATGTTTTCCTCTCTTCCTGGTCTTTGTACAGCAGCATTAGGCAGATGTCATAATGTAGCCTTTTCCCCAGGAAGTCTTCTGTGTGAAGATGCTGCAGCCTCAGGAGACGCTCTCACTAGACTTCTCTCTGGCTTCATTACTTTTCATTGATCTGCACTATTTTACATTGCGTTCATGAAGGAACATTGCTGTTAACACATTTAATGAATCTCCATGTTATTTGTATTACCAAGAAATCTAAATCTCTGTTTTTGGCCAATCACATTTTTATGTCTACGTTCTCAGTTCCTTTTTTTGTGATTCAAATATACATTTAGTAAATAAACCGAAGTAACCTCTCCTCTCCATTGGTGATTAGCACATCATATATTAGCAAATGACCCAATGTGTCCAGCTGAGAGACAGGAAAAATGTCATGTGCGTGACAATGTCTTGATGGTAACTAACAATCTAACCGCAGGGGAGGATGCTCTCCACCGCATCACAGATACACAGCCTGACAGATGTTCGGAGCAGATGTTCGGAGCAGGTTTCTGAATGCCTCCCACGCTTGGTTTAGCATGGTTATAAACCCAAAGGCTGCCATTAACTTGTTTGTAAATATAATGTTAATCTCTCAAATTCACTCAAATGTTGAACTGTCGTTGTCGAGCATAATCAACATGCTCAGGATTAATCATCTGGAATCCATTAATATATGAACCACGTGTGGTTATAGTCATATGTTTATACATTAATAATACACGTTTGAAGTTTGGTTTATGTGATATCTATTTTAAAATGTCTCAATGTGGACGCAGCAGACTGTAGCACCCATGTGGCTCAGCAGTGTCTCCGCCTCGCTGTCTTTATACTGTGAGGGGCACAGTGGACATCATCATTGGCTCGTCACAGAGAAACCATACGAGGCTTGGCTCGGTCATAACATACAAGTATCGATATATGACAAGTATCGATGGATTAGACTACGCAAGGACCATCATACAACATAACCACCAGCCCATTCTTCTGCAGCGGCAGTGACATCACTCGAGGCGCAGTGTGGCCTCCTGCCGCGAGACACAACATCTTTGGGCTGTGAACAGTTTCATGTCACCGTGGCTTTTAAGTTGTACAACGTTGGGATTTAAATTTGTTGTTGTATAGCTGGCTTATGTTCCCACTTACCTTGTTTTGCGTTTGAGTCCCTTTTGGGACAGTTATCTGTCTTTTGTGTGGACATAAAATAAAGTAAGTAAGAGTTTAATACAGCTCATGTTATGGCTTGGACTGGTGTTTTAGACAGAGAGGCGCTTGTTTGTTAACAAAAAGCAACAAAAGGGAACGGGAGTGAACAGTATTTACCTTCTGTTGGGCTTGGAGAAAATCTCAATTAAAGAATGCTTTATTGTGACTGTTAAGTACATACCACATAATAAATACACACCCAGACTTGTCTGATATCTATAACACTTTATTTCCAAAAATAAATGGTGCAAACATGTACCAAACTGCAAATTTATTATCACCTCAACCAGAAGACTTCTTAGAGCATAAATGGATGCAACGTTGGAAGAGGACCTTCACAACATTCTTTTGCATATAGTTTGATACTCTCTGGAGAAGTAAACAGAAGCACGTTGCTGTGTAACGTGGGGAAGCCTCATCCAATCAAATGCTTTAGTTTCAGCCAGTTCTGTTGCTTGTAGTGTGAACATAGCGAAGTGTTGGTAGAACCTGTGTGGCCAGCGCTCTTGCACACAGGAGCACTGGATACAATCCCATAAAGACTTTTATGATAATTAATAAGATCACAGCAACATATGTTGATCGCTGCCAAGTATCAGATGCCTGACTAAGCACATGAGCCCTTCTCCTGACGGTCAGGTGAGGCTCCAGATGACAGTGAGCATCGCCATGAGGCCATTAACAACGGCAACCCCATAACCCAGGTGGACGTCCTGGTCCGATAGAGCTCTAGAAGAACACACACACACACACACACACACTTACTGCATTAACACATTAAAGGTTCCGCCTGGAGTACTGCACTGCCTGATGGGTCATATGTAGCCTGCTGTACCAGTGTCTTACCTCAAGTGGGCTGGTGTGACCGTGGTGGTCGGATACGAGTCAAGGCATGTGAGGGTACATGAGAGGACACAGCAGATACATCCCACTAACAGCGACAGCGCCAGGATACTCCAGAAACCTGCACACACACACACACACATTAATAACAAAGGCTTGAAGCCCGACAGAGGTATCAGAGACCTTCCACCCTAACCCGAATACTCACCTAACGTCCTTCATTATTAAATAATGATAATAATAATGATGTACATAAAGAAGAGAAGGAGCATTTCCTCTGGGACTAGACACACAGATATTAATACTCACTCAGCATCACCTAATGATTATAACAATAATAGTAATGTACATAAAGATAAGGAGATGTGACTCTAGGACTAAATAAACAAATATTAATACTCACCCAGCATTCTGTCTTCAGTCCAATCCGCCTTCAGCTCTGAAACAGTGCATTTATTACAACATGTGATTTGATTCCAGCCCATTGGATTCCTGTTATTTCATTACTTCCTATAGTGTGGCCCAGTTAGTGCACATGGACTAAAGTACCATATGTCTCCATGCATGCTTATGTTTCAACTTTCATGAATCCTGGTAATGTAAGGTCTTATTATTAGTAGCGCACTGTCTGAGTTCCCGATGCGTCATAAATCACGGTAAACTGTCCCTGTGGACCATCAACGTTACGTCATCAATGTCATGGGCAAACATGTTCACAAACACATATCACACCCACATAGAAAACGGATCACTGATCCCCTTTCCTACTACTGCTAAATGAAACCTTTATGGCCCACGTTACCTCTGAGGATCGGGTAGACGAGCGCGCAGAAAAAACCTCCAGCGACAACGACCAAGGCCGAGCCCAGCACCGACAGCGCGACCCCCGACCACGGCCTGCGCCCGTCACGGGGGACCGAGGTCCCGGGCGGGTGTCCCGACATGCTGCTCCCTCGGGGGCTTTCTACTGGGACCGCGGTGTATTCTGGAACCTTTCACTTCCGCGGCGGGACACCGAGAGTAGACGTCACCGTGTAAGGATCCCCCTCTTAGAACGACACGTCACGTATCCACGATAACCCGAATGGAGGGAGACCTCAATCCACACACACACACACACACACACACACACACACACCACACACACACACACACACACACACACACACACACTACCAAACGATGATCTGTTCTACTGAAGATTAAGGTCGTCCCGGGTCTTGTGGAGGGATGACGGATATCAGCCAAACCCGGAAGTCAGCAGCACCACTGGTTCTCTCGACGGAATATCACAGAAACTCTGTGACATCCTCTGTTCAGCAACGAAACTTTAACACTTTAAAGATGTTGGAACTTTAATGCTATGACAGCAGGGAGTAGTGATGCTTCAGGGGACGCACAAACTGAACCACTTGTCAAACCAGAATAATCTCCTCTCCAAAACTTCATTATGCCGACTGCTTTTTTCAGTGTGTAAATGTTTAGGTCAACCAACACTCTTGAAAAGCTGTTGCAGAGCACCGTGTTGTTACAATAAAGCTACTCCCTATGATATTTCCACAAATGTTAAGTATTATGGTCAAAGATGCTCCATAAGAGAAAGAAAACATATATTTTACATTTTTTCTCCTTTAAAGGGGGGGGGGGGGGGGGGCAGATAGGTATTTTTTTATTGAGAGGAACACAACCCCCCCCCCAAAGGATGGATGGTTACGGCCTTGGTTAAGCGGTAGCATAAGGTGTCAAGTGAGTAGGACACAAAGTGTCACAACACTTCTGCAGCAGAGCAGAAGTCAATGTCGAAACTTTCTCTCATGGGACAAATAGTGCTTAAAGAAACACACAATCACACGTCATTATGTTGTGAATCCATGTGTCAGGTTTAAGCAACAAAAGGTACTCGGTTATGGTTATGAAAATTACACAGTTTGTGTTGAAATAAAAATCAAACATCACAAGGTTGAATCAATAACATGACAAAATAAAGCGCACACTTTTTGATGGTTTTAAATAGAACATGATCATCTGCCTTCTGGGTGAAAGTAATTTGATAATCCACCACAGAGACGACCTGGCTCTTTTTGCTCATTATTATACGTTTCTAGATGCATATAAAACTCATGCTCTGCATGTGGCTTATCCTACTTTGTCACTGGCTTTGAATAAATGAAGAAACGTCCACGTTCAACAGAAACGTACATTACAAACTTTCTTCTTTTCATTTTCAACAGTCAACTCCACCAGAAAGCAACTTAGAAAGCCACAAGGCTGCTTTGAATATATTACATTATATTATATATGAATGCTTGATTATGGACGTTAACCCCTAACTCACGGTAACAAACTAAAGAGTTACCCTAAACTAAAATGGAACCAATCATTTGAGATACATATGTCTCTCTATGTTTTTGTGCTTCGTATGTTATAAATAAATTGTGCTTTATGAACAAAAGTAATAAATGATAATGAAATCCCTTCAAGTGGTCGTTTTACAATCAATGGCACCTTTCCGTTTAGTCTGTTCGTCCACATCTCCCTATGTTTATTGTACCTGCTTTGCTCAAACCTGGGGAAATATAATAGAGGCCCGCCAAGCAGCAGTGTTCCGTGCAAAAGAAAGGGAAGAGATGAAACCACAAATAATATCAAGATCACACAAAACAAGGAAACAGATGAATGCAGAAGTTTATTTTGAAAATAACCGGCCGGAAAAGGTGTTGGAACAGATCGTTGATGTCAACAGCAGCGACGAGGTGTTCGGTTCCTTCAGACACCATTCGAGCCCCCCGGAGGAAGACGCATCGCCTTCACCACCACGGTAACGAGGAAAACACATGTTGTTGTTGATGTTGTCGTCACCCCTTCACAATAAAGGGACTCGCGGGGCGGCCGCCGTCGAACAGCTCGTGCTAACGTTACATCGGGGAAATGGGTTGGTTGTGCTTTGGTCAGTCCTGGTCAGTTCTGGCTGTACAACGAGTAGGAACCGGTCCCGTTAACGTGTGTATCAGTACGTGATGAGACATGTAGCTGCAGCTAACGAAGCGCGCTAATGGGTTTAGCTAACGTTGCTAAGGTAGCCCGCGGAACTGCTCTGAAACCAGTCACGTGACGGCTCACTGGTTGCTTTATCAGCAGACGCATCAACAGCCAACGTTAGCTGGTTTGCTCCACTGTACGGATGTGTTATGGACACGTTTGTTGTAGAGACAAAGGTATAACATGGTGCCTAAAGAGAAGGTTATGTCAGAATTACACAGTGCGTAGTAGTGTGTGAAACGTGTCTTTACATCTATGAGGTCATGAAATGGGATAAATGACACTGAAAACAATAGTGATGAGACCGTTTGATGTAGTTGTCATTGTCAATAGTAAAAGTGATGTGGCAAAGACCTTACCAGTCAAGGCCAGATCTCAGCTCCCCACCCTCTGAGAAACGGGCCAACTGTTTGCTAACGGTTGAGATACACCCCCCCCCCCCTCTGCACGCTCGATCACAGAACCTTCGAGTCCGTATTCCTTCCATCTTCCACATGTTTAGATTCTTTGCTCCTGAACCGTGATGTAGCCTGATGACTACGCTTCTGTCTCTTTTGGGTTACCCAACGCCCGACATTCAAATGAACACCATCACGTCATCACAGCACAGTGCACATTCTGCCTTCCAGCTGCGATTATCCTCCAAGCAATGGAATAATTTAGCACATGAGAGTAGCTGAATTATAATTTGAAGCAGAATTCCTACCCGTGTAAAGATAACTAGATGAAGCAGCATGCAGATTTTAAGATTAAAAATGATATTTCTCCTGTTTGGTTTTTGCTGGTGCTGAAATGTAAAATCATGTGTTTCCCTGTTTCTGCTTCTTGTCAATAGCTCGTGGTGCACAAGACGGTTCAGTTGCGCATTTGAACATTTTATTCGTCATGTATGTTGCACGTCCCGTATGTAATGAAAACATATATCCCCTGCTTTACGTACTGTATACAGCTCTAATGTTTTGGCAGTTATTTAGAAACTGAATCTGATGACAAGGGAAAGACGAACAGCTGTGACTCAAATGAAATGATGATGAGTTTGCTCTGTAACATGTCCCTGCCTCTTCTTAATGGCTGGTATGTCGGACAGGATGAAGGAACAACAATAGAAGAGAGTTTAGGGTTAAATCTTTGATAATTAAACTTTAATAAATCTGTAGAAAAAGGGATCCTTACCATTACCTATACTAATAATACAGCCGCAATTCAGAAGGATTCGGTTGTGATTCTGTGGAAAATGTCCATATATAATTTAAAACAATGAAGTGAATGAGTGTGAGCAGGAGCTAAACATTGTCTCTTTTGTGGATTCAGTTGAGGATTTGGCTCATTGTTGTGTTTTGACTTTATTTTACATCCACCATTGTTAGTCTAAAGGTAGTATCGGTTGGTTACTTCTGTCTACGAGAACCATATCAAACAAGTCCATAATGCTATAAAAACAACCACAAAGACATTCTGGTGCAGCGACCCACAGGAACCTGCACGTTGTCCCCTTGGCCCCTAACACGCTGAGCTAAGAGGTCTTCATGTACCTCAGCTTGGGTGTCTCTCTCCCCTGCAGGACTCGGGCTGCTACTCTGTGGACGACCTAGCATCACTGTACAGAGTGAGTTGGTGCTGTAGCGTCCTTCTGCACTGAGCGTCATGTCTTCAGAGCTGCTGGTGGAGTTGGGTGAAGACCCTGCGACTGCACAGCTGGGACAGCTGAAGCTTACCACGTTGGAGGACCAGCAGTGGTCCGCTGATGAGTCTACTCTCAGCAAGTCAGGTGGGAGATCTAACCGAGTGGCATTCCTTAACTTCAAGTCAAACCCATAGGACTCCCTCAAAAGGTCCTCAACCCTAACCCATAGGACCAAAGGTGAACTCCAAACCGTAACCCTCTTTAGATGCAGAACCATTTAAACTGCATGAAACCCCAGTGAACCTCCCCACTAGATGCCCCTAAATGTTAAACCTTGCTCCTTTTGATAACTTAACTAAACAAAGTGAAGAAGTGCTAAACTTGTGTTTCAGAGAAGGACGTCTCCCAGCGCTTTGACGCTGACTCCCCCCACCTCCCGTGGGACCATCCCTACTATGACATCGCCCGGCATCAGATCATTGAAGTGGCAGGTCAGTCACCCCCCCTCCCCCCCCCCACACACACACACACACACGTATCTTAGGTACTTCTTCATGTGTTTTTAACAATGTGTAACACAGTGGCAGTGAAAGGTTGTGTAAATCGTTTCTCTGTGTATCTATAGGTGATGATAACTTTGGCAGGAAGGTGATCGTGTTTAACGCATGCAGGATGCCACCACACCACCAACTGGATCATCACAAGCTGCTCATGTAAGAACTAATAAACTAAATATATCTGGATTGCCTTGATATATATATCGTGTACTGTTTCCATGTCCCTGCTTATGTATTGATGGCTCTTTGGTTGGCAACAAGTGATCTTAAGACAATGAGGATTTTGAAAGTCCTGCTTTCGGACTAGACAACCAGTTTGGAGCCAAAAAGGAGGTTAGAAACATTTTGGATTTACAGGCACTAGTCCTTTTGCAGGAGCACCAGTGAAGTCCAAAATCTTAGAAGATATCAGATGGAATTCCTGAAACATCCGTCTGATGAATATGCTCTCATTTTAAACAACTTACAAGTCAACTCTCACATAAGATCATGGCGATTGCTCTCCTTTTGACTCTAGTGAGACATCTGAGAAGTGGTCGGTAGGTTTCATACAGGAAAGGTCCCTGGTTGGAATCACCAGTGATTTTGTGGTCACATCACACTTTGAAAAGAATAACAATCAATCAATAACTGCTGAAGCATGAGGTAGGTGGGTGTAGAGGAATTTCCTTGGGTAAGGACCAGGATAACAATTCCAGGTGATCAACTCACCAATCTGTTTAAATGGCAATTACTTTGTTGTATTTCTTACAGGTATCTTAAAGGAACCCTGGATCAGTATGTGGAAAGTGACTACACGCTGATCTATTTCCACCACGGGCTGACCGCTGAAAACAAACCCTCTCTCAGCTGGCTACGAGACGCATACAGAGAGTTTGACAGAAAGTAAGCTCATCAATTCAATTCAACTTCATGTATAGGATATGATCAATCGTTGAAGCCTGACAGAATATCATCTGTAAACACTATGAGCCCTATTTTCATGGCAGCACACAGACAAGTGCAAATGGCTCTATGAATGAGTTTGATCGTAAAAATGAGCTGTGAACTGAAATGTATGTTCATGCTTGTACTTGGCAGCATAGATTTTTCGGTGAATTATGATTCTTTGAACACAAGGGTAGACCATAAAGCAGGCTATGCTTAAATGAATATCCCAATACCCCAAATCAATGAAATGGTCATTTGTATTGATGGAAGACAAGTAATGAAATCATGTCAAATATCTTTGAATTGCTCCCTTTGTTTTGTGGTAATTCGAGATCGGTGACTCAAAGTCATGATACGACCAGGAATGTCAGTTCTTGTTGTGTGATGTTTTAGGTCAATGCAAATGTCTGGTATCATTCTACATGTTTGCCGGTAATGAGTATCACGTTACGTGTGAATGGCAATTAAGGGAAATTATTTGTCGTAACGGTTGTTTTAAAGTGGATTTCCTCCTTCAGGTACAAGAAGAACATCAAGGCTCTGTATATCGTCCATCCGACCATGTTCATCAAGACTCTGCTGATCCTCTTCAAACCAATCATCAGGTTCTTTTTATGTCAAATGAAGTGGTTATATGTGTACATTTTCACACGTTGAACAAGTATGTAGATCATCGCTGTTCATACTGGGGATGTTCTCAGACCACTATTACTAAATGTAGCAGGATGAGGTTAAGCAGCTTCTCCCCCCACCATGTCACCTGTTCATCTTTACAAAAATATAAGGTCAACTTACTTTTGATGAAAGTGGCGTAACACTTATATGGAGAGCCACAGATGGGTTTTGGGGAAGACTGTTTTTTATAAATCTGACCAAACACCAACTGTTACACACATTGATTAATGTCTACTAGTATTGATAGGATCAAAACAAAAATAGAAATCTAAACACTGTTCTGCGTGCATTTGGCAATTATCTGGGTAGCTTTGGTAAATTGTGAAAGGTCTTTACATCTTTCATTGTGGACTTGCGACCACTCGGTCGCAAGTGCTGCACACAATAGTTTTGAAGATGCTGTCTTACAAGCGGTCAAATTACTCCTCCACGTGCTTCTTTTGGAATCAGGAAACATTTATTGCCATAATATGTCAGACATACAAGGAATTTGACTTGGCGGTTGGTGCGTGACAGCAGACAGTACGACAATGGACGACAAGACAGTGCACGAGGAATAAAATAAAATATAATGCTATGCTTTACATTCTTCTGAGGAGGAACCTTGCTGTTCAACAATCACCAGCATGGTTTTACTCTCAGCAACGGATGCAATGAAAGTATACTAGAAAAACCTGATTAAATCATGGTCTTTCTGTACATCCATAAAGTACAGTGGTGTGATATTTCCGTTTCTGTTGCTTCAGAGAAATATGAAGCAACTTTATTGATGCAACATTGACATCACTAGGACGTAGCTCCAGTGACCTCTAGTGGCAGCTCTAGAAAACGACAACAGAACTGATACGTGTGTTTTCATGACCAAGTGTCATAGGTAGAGCTAATGAGTATGCTTCACATTCAGACTTCTGCATTGTTGCTTGTTGTTTTGTAAAACACATGCAGGGCGAAATGATCATAGGAAATGTAGCTCATTCAGTGTCCTGTTGAGGCTTCAATAATAACCTCTCATGAAACGTACCCACATTTTGTCATTAACTTTTAAAAAGCAACATTTGGTAAAAGGACCATTGTTTGAGTGAAGCTGTATGCGAAAAAGGTGTCAGGTTCCATTTCAGAACGGCAGGTTCCGGTGGATCCTTTTTCAGGCACAAGCCGATCTCAGTTGGGTATTAAGTAATGTATTAATTAATGTAACTAACTCATTAACGTATTAGTTGGGTATTTTGCGGCATGCAAATTCCATGTAACGTTAAATGAGTATCTTCATGACTGTGGGTTTGCCGTAAATGTTTTTTGCTAACTTTATTTAGAATCTGGCACAACACAGCGACTTAGTAGCGCAGGTCTTAAACACAAAGGGATTCTGTATTTGCTCATAAAGCCTGAAACGGGTCATTTGGCCAATGTTTTGATAGCCGTTCTGAAAAAGGAACCTTCCACCGACCACTTTTCACCCTCGGCGCTACTGCGTCGTTTGTGACGTGAAACAGGAACATGTTTAGAACAACCCCCCCCTCTCTCTCTCTCTCTCTCTCTCTCTCTCTCTCTCTAGTTTTAAGTTTGGCAGGAAAATCAACTATGTGAACTATCTGAGTGAGCTGGAGGACGTGGTGAAATGTGAGCAGCTGATCATTCCTGCCCGTGTCAAAGCGTAAGAGCTTATGTTCCACATGTCCACTTTGGTATTTTATGCTTCCTACTGCAGGTGTTTGTGTTACAGTCACTGTTGCTATGTCCACCTTCTGTCCTGTTACACTACAATCACTGTTACCATGTCCACCATCTGTCCTGTTACACTACAATCACTGTTACCATGTCCACCATCTGTCCTGTTACACTACAATCACTGTTACCATGTCCACCATCTGTCCTGTTACACTACAATCACTGTTACCATGTCCACAATGTTGTCTTGTTACACTACAAGTTACTGTTGTGTAGTGAAATCTCTTGGTCAGACAGTCTTTGTTCATTCTGTGAATCCTTCGATCCAATGACAATATTGCAGTCAGCTGATGTTCTCTGTCTGTGTCAGGTACGACAACAAGCTGAGAGCATCTCTTAAGCCGAGCGCACAGCCCCTTGTATCTCCTCTTCTCAGCCCCCCCCTCCCCGGGCAGGTGTTTGGAGTGCCTCTTCTAATGTGAGTCACCTGATCCCTGCTGTTTGATTGGTCACTACACTTACTCAAGTACACACTTAGGGTACTCTTGAACATTTTCCTTAATGCTTTACTTTGTTCTCTTTACTAGATTTCAGGGTAATTGGTCATATTTGTTCGGGAGCCTTTTCAGTTTTATATTTCTTTCTTTGGCCTTCTTTCCGGCAATTTGTGGTTCACACAGAACAGAGATGCTACAAAGAAACACATGACGATGTTTTGCAAAATGAATTGATGTAGACTTAACTGTGCATAATAAGCATGTTAAAATTAGGACACCCATGAGCTCATACTGCAATGAAATGCAACATTCACATTATTGCAACATTGATATTAATCCAGAGACATTATATTTGAAATTAAATAACTGACAGCTTGACTATTTCTAAGATTTTTACTTTTAGTGCATTAATGATAATAGTAACCTACTTTTACTTCACTCAGGTTCTTTTAGTAAAGTAAAGCATTTGAGTATGTGTTTGCCAGGCTGAGACAGAGGAGTCCAGATGGAGATGCTATTCCCGTGGTGATGAGAGACACCATCAGCTTCCTGTCAGAGCAAGGTAACAGCTGGCGATGAAAGCAACTTGATGTGCTGGTGCTGTAACGCAATTGTTCTATTGGTAAGAGGGTCCTCTGTGTGTCTCTCTCAGGTTTGGAGATTGAAGGGATCTTCAGACGGTCTGCTAATGTGACTCTGGTGAAGCAGGTCCAGCTCAGATACAACTCTGGTAGGACCAGTGCTCCGACTTTTTACTCCGATTTAGCAGTCTCATGACTTCCTGTCTGAGCAGTTTTATGATGGTAAACGGTCGGCGGACTGGTAAGTAAGTAGTAAGAATGTGAGAGAAATTTGTGTTTCGCTTAGCATAATATTATGGAGGCGCTCACACAGTTGAGCAGACAGAGAGCGTGCGTCGAACAATATTGGTGCCCGGTCGCCGAGCTCCAGTAGCATAGAGCCTAATGAAGCCCATAATCATGTTCTGGGTTACTGAATAATGACATCTCAATCAGAATATCAATAAAAAGAGACACAGGTACGGTAAATGAATGAGACACACATACACACGTTCCTTCCAGTCGAAGTGGTTCCTTTGCCTCTAAGCAGGACACATCACACACAATGCTGTGCTTGTTAAACAAGTCATAGTCTGACTCATCGTGACATCACTCATTGGATTTGAGTTTGTGGACTGTTGATATGAAGTCTTGAGTTTGGCGTTTCAGTTTTAGAACTGAAACATGAAAATGTTTTTTTTTTTCAGTCATGCAGAATAGCCGATGCGCACACCCGCACATTCAGGCCCCTAGAAGGACCTTTCATGGAACACAATGTCTTGGTGGAATGCCAGTGATGGATCTTCTTGTGTGTATGTGTGTTTGTTAGGTGAGGCGGTAGATTTCAGAGAAATGGAAGACATACACCTGGCTGCTGTGATTCTGAAGACTTTCCTGAGGGAACTACCTGAGCCTCTGCTCACCTACCAGCTCTACAACGACATCATCAATTTCAGCGGTATGTTAAGACACATCTCACTAGAATGGGGGGGCGGGGCCCCGCTGATATAATGGTAGGGGAAACACATGAGCCAACCTGCTTCTGTTTGGAAGTCCTCTCTGATTCTTACTTTGAGTTAGCGGGAGCTAACGGGAAACTAAAGCTAATTAGCGACCCTTGCTTACTAACAGACACATTTAACCTCCTCAACAAGCTCTGTGTCACCTGGCGTCTGTGTGTTGTCGTCTTCCAGCTGTTTCCAGTGACAACCAGGAGTCCCTGATGAAGACGCTGGTGGAGTCGCTGCCAGAGGAGAACTATGAAGCACTTCGATTCCTCATCACATTCCTGGCACAGGTACAAAACCTAACCTCCCAACCCACAGGTACAGATCCTAACCCCTTAACCCAGTGGTCCGAAAGCTCCTCGGACCACTCCGTGGGCCATTTGGTTACCGGGCCCAGAAAAGAATAATCAATCTTTTTTTTTTTCCAGAAAAATGTTATATATATTTGGAAAAAATGACCGGATTCTTTCCCAACTACATGTGATTGTCCCTCTTGACCAATTCGCCAAGCATATTTTTGTGTGTGTGTGTGTGTGTGTGTGTGTGCGTTTAGGTATCTGCCAACAGTGAAGTGAACAAGATGACCAACAGTAACCTGGCCGTGGTGTTTGGTCCTAATCTGCTCTGGGGGCGGGACAACGCCATGTCCCTCAGCGCCATTGGCCCAATCAACAACTTTACCAGAACCCTGCTTGACCAGCAGCATCTGGTCTTTACCTAAATCTTCCTCTCCCCAGTCAGCACCACTATACACGTTAAAAATATCCAGTGGATCAGCTATATTTCATTCAATATCACATTCCCATTGGCCCATGAGCAGGGTATCATTGTCATACCAGGCGGTGTCCTAGCCTGCTGCTGTCTGCTGGTCCTCCTATCTTCGTAATTGCAGGCATGTGGGTGTAACAGATACAGGTTAGACTGCAGCCAGAGGTCACTTTGGTGCATTTTTTCTGCTTTTGTTGTTGCTTTTTGTCCTTCTCATTCACATTAATCAGTCTCATAAACAGAAAACTAGCTGACATGAGGTGAAAGAGTCACTCCTGGATTTTGTCTCAGCATTTTATCTCTCACGAGACCCTGAAAAAAATAATGTGGTCAGAATTAAACCACTGGTTGCTATGTCGATGTCCTGACGCACTAGTTCCTACAAGTCCCACAATGCAGCGTAATTTGAGCTGCCTGGTGGATCCAGACTTGTAGTTAAGGGCTCCTATTATATATTTGCAGTCTCCCAGCCAAGCTGACGTCACTTTGTCACATGTGATACAGTTCAGAGGACAAATAAAGGTGTCACATAATCAGGGAGTGTGTCTTTCACCACATCCATCATCATGTCCAACACAATTCCTTGATGCATGTGTTAATATCTCATTACATTGATTTCTAACTAACAGCAGTTTGCTTCAGATCAGTCATCTCTGTATTCAGACTGTCTCTGTTGTCTCCATCAAGTGTCAGTGAACTGGCCTCCAGCTGTCACACGGAAAGCCGTGCGATGGCACTCCATCAATAATACGCATAGATCATGTCCCTCTATTATGAAAGAGAGAGATGGTCGCGGAGTTGTTGAGTAACATCGGAACAAAGACCAGGGGAAGATGGCTCTGCTGTCCACCACTTACGCTTTACATAAAAAACAGAATTTTATTTTTGTCTGTCGTTGACTTGTGTTTTGTTTTTCATGTTGTTCCCTAGGACAACTTTAAGCACTTTAATTCACTACCGGCATAGAGCAGCAGTGCTACAATGGAAAAAAATAAATGGCCAAACTAAAAATCCATCCTTAAATCCATTTGAATTTGCTGAAAGCGGAGCTGTAGCAATCTGCTGAATTTTTTATAGTTGGTATTAATCAGGGTATGTCTTTTTCCATATATAATAGAGATAAAACAGGTTCTCATCGTTACTATTATTATCGGTATTATTTCAAGTAACATTAGGACCGGATTAAAAAATTTGTACTTCATTTTAGAAAAACAAACTGATCTGCAACTTTATATTCAGTTCATTCAGGTGTAAAGGGATATCAATCAAAAAAGGCCAGTATATTATATTATTCTCACCTTCTAAAAAGATAAATGTGTGCAATCACTTTATCAGTGGTTATTAAAATCCCTGATGTCCTCTGTTACTCAGTGAATTCATATGTTAGGCTTGAGTTCTTACGTTAAGTATTTTCTGTGCCTTTATTCCATATGTATGTTTGCTTGAAGTTTTCTTTGTCTCTTGAGTGAAACTTCACATTATCTCCTTTAATATTCACCTATCTATATGAGACATTCTGGTTCTATTACTGGTGAAAGGTTCTGGTCCCTATGACCTCATTCCTCCTTTTGGAGAACCTTGTGTGACTCTTGTGCCTCCTTCTCTGACCCGTGTTTATCTCACTAGAGTCGTGGGCGAAAATCATTGTAATACACACATTTCATTGCCTGAGCAGCATCATGTGAGAAGATGTACCTGGGCCGCTAAATAAGTTCTGTAAAGGCTGAAAAGCTGCACGGGTTAAAGAGGTGCACCTTTTAAAATGTAATACTTCTCAATTATCAATCGGTTGTCTAGATAGTCTAGATACAATGCGTCTGGTTCCGGACCGGATTAGTCCAACTATGAGTGACCCCTATCTAGAGCATCCAAGGGTTTCAGTTTGGCTGCAGAAGAGTTGTGTAAATGGAATTGACTCTTTCCTGCATTGCCTGGTACTTTTGTGTACTTCCAAAGCCAAATGGTATTTCTACAACCATCACTGTCTGCACTCTCATGCATCCTCAAGGTAATTTTGCCTTCATTCAGATCCCCAAGCCTTGAATTTAAAGAACTTTTCCCGCAAATTCAGCATTCTGTGTCAAATCAATAAGATTCATAGATGAGCTGCTCGGTGTTGTACTGTAAATTACTTTGGATGCAAGTCACAGGAACAACATTGAGTCAGCAGTTTGACCTTTTGTGACCTTGATCATTTGTGTCTTCTTTCTGTAGTCATGCAGTCATCCATGTAAAGACTCCTGGCCAAACTATGCTATTTAGTTTTATGAATGGCCAAAGTACTTTTTAGTGTTGTAATGTTTCCTATGATACTTAATATGATGTAACTGAAAAGCACCAAAAGATATTTCGTTTGACTGAAGCTAAAAACTAAAAAAATCAATCTCCGATGTTAACCTCTTGTACCGACCTGTTGATCCCGTGGTAATTGGCATGCTACCAGTGTGTGTGTGTGTGTGTGTGTAAGTGTGTGTAACTAGGGCTCCTGTCAGTTCATATATAAATATATATTGTATGTAAAAAAAAAAGAAAGAAACTATTTTAAAACAAAATGAAGATGAATCAACACAAATTTAGGGTTACACATTTTTCCATTGGACAACTGGTGTGTGTGTGTGTACGTGAATGTGCCTTATCTGTCTCTCCCCAGTGATTGTGTAATTAGCAATCAAAGTGCTAGTGTGCCATTCTGCCATAGATTAACGATGTGAGGTGAATTCATAGAAGTTGAGGGGTTTGCCTCAAAGGGTTCTGGTACTGAACACAAAAGAGCTCACACAGCTCATACCGTAATGGATGATCACAAGGCTCGAGAAACAACCTCAAATACAAAATATTCTGAAGAGGATTGATCGTCATACATGAAATGCAATTTTGAAATGATATACAAAGTAAGATTTACGATTGAAGTAATTATTTGTGTACTTTGATGGTAATGTTGCAAATATTTCTACTATGTATCCAGTCAACTAAATATTTAGATTCTAATACCACTTTGAATTATTATCATCATTGTACAACCAGGATGTTTTAGGCTTTACAATCTCATTACATATTTTTTTATTTCTGTATAAAAATAAATACAGAAATAAATGTAAAATTTGTTTATTAAATTGTATGACACTGTTTCTCCTCAACTCTGCTTATCAATTACAGCTCCTTAAACTATGGATCTTTGTACTGTAATGGTTGTCATGGTGACAGTGAAAAATGTTTCTCTTGGAGAAATATTTTTTTTTCTTGGCTGATTTGATACTTGATATTTCTTTTTTTTCTCCATTACTTTTGATATTGTGGATGTTAGTCTTATGTATTGATTAGAACGTCAAACTAATGTCTGTGGAAACAATAAAGAATGGCAAATAAAAGCATATTTGCATGTTGCAATACTAGCATGACATTCACACACAAATATAGCTGATTTAAAATCTTATAATAATGTCGAAGCGAACCGGTTATTTTGATGCAAGTACAGAGGGAAAGGAAGGTCACAATGAGGTTTGTACTCTCCAGATAAAACATGCAATCTCACCAACTCAGGATACAGGATAAGTGAAAAGTTAATCAGGAAAATAAATCAATATAAATTATTTCAGGTGTAACATGAATCTATGGGGTCAGATCAGTCTCAATAAGAGAAAATTCACAAATGCGCACAGAACATTTCACAAGTATATTCGATTTATAAATGCAAACAAAACGTTTTTGAGACTTGTCTTACAGAGTAAATCTACAAATGCACTTTTTTCAACATGGACCTATCTAGCCAATCAGATATCGCCCTCATTCTCAATCGATCACATCATCTCCTCCCTGCACTCCCCACCAGATTGCCAGCGCTGCGTAAGTTGCGCAGGCCATGCGACGGCAGTCAATGGCGTCTGGTAGAGACGGCGCTCCGCTTCAATTGTAAGTGAAACATAATTGATTGTAATTGTTGCAAGACTTGACAGCGAAGTAAATTCCGTGAAATATTTGAAATTTCTTATTCACTTTAATCTTGTAGCTCGTCAAGCTTAGCTAGCTAGCTAATTAGTGTTGTCGAACGTTAACATGACTGTCTCCCGACCCGGACACTCGTCATTTGATGCTGTTTTAGGTCTTTTTTTTGTCGATTGCCCGGGAAACATGAGTGATTCATAAATGTCACCGAATCTACGTGACAAATCTTGTGTCACTCTTGGAGACATCCACTAAGGACACAACAATCATATTCTTAGACCCTGTCAATCTGCACATGAATCTATACATAATACATACATACATACATAACATTTCTTAAAACAGCTTTAAAAGTGGGCACTTTATTGGGCACAAACATTTCACTGGCACAATTCCGCCTAGGGACTTTAAGCACAATTCTGCATCATTATAAGAAGGTTTGTAAGAAGGAACACTTGAAGGTTTTTCATCTTCAACTTACTAAAATGACACCACAGGTGGGCAGTATACAGTAGGGCGCAATAGGTTCTGAAAAGTGCGAATTTAACATCAGAAGTACACATGTGAAATTTGCGTGCCTGCCCATACAATTTTCCACACTGACGCTGCACATCATCATCATCACACAGGTCACTCTGATCACATGTCCTAGATATTTAACTTTCTTTACAACTTCTAGTGGTTATAGTATATATTATAGTGTATATATATATACATATATATTTACATGTCTAACTACTGCAGGAAAGATACTTTTATGAGAGAAAGTAGTAAGACTCACATGGGTGATGGTTAGGCAATGCTGGGGCGATGATGAAAGAGCTTCTATTTGGAGGTGTTGAGGCGGGATATCTCATTGCGGAAAGGCACAATTTGGTTGTCAGCATTGATGGTGATTTTGGCCACCCTTTAACTAATATTTAATCTCTGTAAACAATGTTTACAATGACGATGGACGTCTGTCCGGGTCAAGGCTATACCAGTGCACGGCTAATTCACCGGCGTTAGCGTCCTTTTACCAACTGGTTAACCCTTAGATGCATAGGTGGGTCAAAAATAACCCGGGGAGGTTGTTTTCTTGAAATATCTTTGTAATAAAAAATTGTTATCATTTCATATTTCAGGTATTCCTCAAAACATGTTTTTTATATAATGCCATTTACATTTGACTTACCTTACCTTTTACTTACCTTTTATACATTTTAAGAAATTGTAGTTTTTGTACTACTACCGCAAGTAGTAAGTTGGTCAATGGAAATGTGATTCTTATCAGTCTGGAAACAGACCACATGGCAGCCTTTCGCTATGTATGGGACCATTTTCTGATCATCTGCGAACAGCGATTCATCCCCAGTGATTGTGTCACTGTGGACGAACAGCTTGTGCCATTCGGGGGTAGATGCAAGTTTCTACAGTACATGCCAAGCAAGCCCGCCAAGTACGGCCTAAAGATCTTCTGGGTTTGTGATGCACGCATCCCCTATGCAATAAATGGTATAGTTTACATGGGGAGACAACCATTTGAAGAAGTTCAGAAGAATCTGGGGGACAACATTGTCCAGCGGTTGTGTAGTAGATTTAGAAACCCAGGCCGCAACATCACCATGGATAACCTTTTCACCAGTGTGCGTCTTGCACAGCATCTCCTGGAGAAGGATCTCACTATTGTGGGGACTTTACGTCTAAACAAGCCAGACATCACATCACATTTTACATCAAGACGAAAGGAGGTGTAGACACCACTGACAGGATGGTTGGCTCCTACACCTGCAATAACATAATTGAGATTGCCACCCTGAATACCTACACCTTTTTCACGGCTCAGCACCCAGAATTCAAGAGCGGCATCACCAATGCACAACGGCTCTTCCTCAAAGAGCTGTCAAAGAAGCTTGTCACACCCCACACGAGGAGTGGACTGGAAGGCTGCCCCCAACTGCAAACCCCGATTATTGAGGCAACACAAAGGTGTGGGGTTACAAAAGCCACAACCCAGCCACATTTTAACAAATGTTACAAGGAAAAAATAAAGATATTTCAAACATGAAATCATTCTTGTGTGGTACTAAATATTATACGAGTAATTATTCTTAACCAAAATGACAAAAATGGCATAAAAACACATTGATTCTAATATGGGTCATTTTTGAAAAAATGCGCTCACACGGCACGGATGAGGCAGGAATGCTCAAAATATGATGTGCTAATACAAATAGATGTGGGTACACATGTTTGTGTTTGACCCAATATTTTAGCGTGTCTTCACTTCGTGGAATGTTTGGCTCAGCCAAATAGCGGTGGTCTCCACAATAAAAATAAAGATCCATAATTACACAATACAAATGACAGACTTGGCCTGCCTATTACAAACCTCGTTAGAGGAAATCAAATTGAAGTGCTCCCACATCTCGGGTCGACCTCTCTTTTGCCACAGGTTCCATTGTAAATTTGCTCTGTATTTGCACTGTATCAAACCGACAAGCCCGAACCCTGTTTCAAACCCAAGGTTCCGACAAAGATCCTCGCCAGGTTACCCGGTAGGTGCGGCCGTCGAGGTAGGACGAGAGAAGGGAGAGAGCAGAGCCTGAGACACCCAAGTTCCTGAAGAAAATAAGGATCTGATGGTTGACTGTGTCAAATGCAGAGGAGGACAGAGGAGAGAGAGGCGGCTCTAGCAGTGTGGAGTTGCTCTGAGACAGCAAGGAGAGCAGTCTCTGTGGAATGGCCTGCCTTGAAGCCTGACTGGTGGGGGGGTCAAGGAGGTTGTTATGTTGGAGATAGGAGGAGAGTTGGTTAAAGATCGCACGTTAAAGAGTTTTGGACAAAAAGGGAAGAAGAGAGACTGGTCTGAAGTTGTTTTCTTCAGAAGGGTTGAGGGTGGGTTTCTTCAGGAGAGGGTTAACTTTTGCCTCCTTCAGAGAATTGGGAAAACAGCCAGATAGCATTGTTGATGACACAGGTGAGGAAAGGAAGAAGGTTCCCAATCCGCATCGAGCTCCACACAATATGACCTCAAAAGGGACTTCAGGGTTTGATGAAACCTCTCAAGAACTCCTTGACTTTGCGGATGATAAGCACTAGAAATATTGTGTTTGACTCGCAGTTGGCTTTTGAGAACGGTTTGGACATGAAGTTCGAACCCTGTAACAGAGCAACAGGCACCTTTTGATTTGGTTTACCGGTAATCTGGCATGTATGACAGGATCGAATGTGTTTTGCTACATCGCGTTTTACTTTAGGCCAATAAAACTGTCGCAAAACCCGATCATACGTTTTATGGACACCGGTACGACCAGCAAGACCTTGATGAGCCAAATGCAACACAGAGTCTCTCGCTGAAAAAGGAACCACAATCTGTGTTTTAGGTTCCAGCGAAACAGCTTTAGGCAGGACCACTGTTCGACAAAGCAGACCATCATCAAGAAAGTACGAAGAGGATTGATGATCAGAAGACTTCTTCTGCTGCAGAAAATAAAGGCTTAAGAGTGTCATCGCTCTGTTGAGCTCTAATTAAATCCTCTCGAGAGATCTGGAACAAAGGAGATAGAGAACAGTCATCAACATCAGGGAGATCAACATGGGTTTTCTCAGGAGTGGACAGAACCGCAGGTGTAGCAGCAGATTCACTTTGCAGCATCTGTCTGCAACGAAGAGCAGGACTTCTCTACAATTCTCTACAATTGTCCACATCAGATTTCCTGGGTATAGATGAGATTATGGGGGGAGCTGCAACACCACTCCGTCCCCAAACATTTCCATCTGCTAAATCATTTCCCAGAATAAATGTAATCCCAGGGACTGGAAGTGCAGAACCAACACCAACTACTACATCACCAGATACGATGGCTGAGGACAGATGGATTCGATATAAAGGCACTTCAACAAACCCAATCTCAAAACCTCGCACTAGTACCTGCGATCCAGTAGCGGTTTCAGACGTTAAAGGCAAAATTCCCTCTAAAAGAAGCGACTGCGCGGCTCCTGCGTCTCGAAGAAGACGCACCGGCACAGTTTCCTTTGAACCAAGCAATGACACAGAGCAGGTGGAATTGTCAAAGACAATCAAATGTGTGTAGTTTTGAGTTTCAAATAAGTGTCTAAAATACATGCTTTCTAAATTGATTACTTTTAAGATTTAAGTCTTTAGAAGAAAGAAAAACATTAATAACAACATTCATTAATCGAGGTGAATGAATTTCAAAATCTCTACTACTACTAATTCAGCGGTTCCCAAACTCAAGAATGCCGCGGCCCACTTTGAGATCTGAAAATCTTTTGCGGCCCACCCGAACCTTTAATCACAACTCTGATCAAAACATAAAACTAGGGATGATTAAATGACCGTAAGAATTTAATTTTGATTCAAAATGTATTAACCGACAATGTATGTTTTGTATACCATTTTCTCCGGAGCTCATGTGCCGTGTTTTCCGCACAATAAGGCGCATAAGATACTGCAGTCTATCAGCGCAAATCACTGTCAAAATTCGAGAGCGCAAATCAGGTTGATGCGCTACTGTAGAGAAAAGGGCACCGTCTCCCGCTCTTTAATCTCATGAAGTGCTCGGCAAGAACGACAGCTTTGTTTCTCCGACGCGCCGTGAAACAAGCTCCACATCTCACGCGCTTGAGCGCCGCTCAGCATCTCGCCGTCATAGACCGAGCTTTGGCGTGTTTGGCAGAGCGCCTTGAGCGCCGTGTGCAACCAGTATGGATCAACCGATTAACCAATCTGTTCGTTTAAATAGTTTGTGCTTCATCAATTAATGTTTCACATAACTAATGTGCCGCATCAAACATATTTTTATATAAATTTCAAACTTTTCAAAGTTGAAAATTAAAAACTTTTTATTTATTTATTGTAAATGACCTCTTGCGGCCCACCATTTTGGGAATCGCTGTACTAATTAATTAGATCTAAATCTATTGACAGCCCTAATTATTATGCAACTAAGCTCTGATTGGTCATCAAAGGTGCTTTTCTAGATGTTTTATACTTACTGAAGGACTGAAGTTACATCGATAACTCCTGATCACTCAAATGTGATGTCATAAGTGAGAAAGTTCAGTTCTGTCACCATAAACATTTTTAACCCGGTGAATATTTAAAACTACCCAGAACACTGTCATTACCGTAGAATCCTGATATGGAATTTATCAACCCTTAAATTCTAGACACGGTATTAATTTCTTTGTTTCTGTCAGATGTGACAGTGCCGCAGTTCTTTAATATGACAAAAGAAAAACAAAACGTACACATTAGCTCTGTAATGATGCGCATATCACAATTAAAAACGAATTCTGAAGAATATGATTGTTACAAGACACTCAATTGAGTATTGGTTAAGACGCATGTGTCCTCTTAGCGGCCTCTCTTTTGAGTTTTAAAACCAAGTGGCCACCAGTGGCAGTGCAGCTCTGACCCAGAGCAGAACAGAACGTGCAGTTGTTAGAGAGCTGTTGGAAAACACCGCCCCTCAGTCAGTTCTTCCACATGTAGCTGTAGTTGCTCATGTTGATGTGAGTCAGAGCCGTCTTGCCGAGGCTAGAGGGCTGCTGAAGCTGCTGGATGGAGGAAGGATGGAGGCCACAGCTGGACAGGTCCACCGAGCCACCGGCACACTGCAGACACATAGAAACAGCTAGAATGAGACAGAATCTTTAATCCGAGGAGCCGTTCGCTTACGACGGTTCCGAAGGGGTGGTGACTGGAGAGAGGAGCAAGAAACATCTTTCTTTGCTCTTCCTCCAATGAGCTGAAGTTATTTACATTTCTATTATATAGACTATGATCTGCTTTGGGCTAGTGTGTGTATATATATATATATATATATATATATATATATATATATATATATATATATATATATATATATATTCTGACATAAATAACCTCGTGATGATCTCACTGCAGCAGGTGTTGAAGAGCAGTGGAGCTCTTGAGGGATACAGTTGGATACAATCTTTTTACATGATGGAATTATTGAGCATTTTGTTGCAGTTTTTCCTTTCAAAAGATGAATGTTGTTTCTTCATCACACATCAAAAAATTGTGTAATGTAAAAAAAACCTGTGTTGTGACCGATGTGAAACCAGTAAGTTTCTGAGATCCCTTCCATTAAATGTGCCTTCTTACCTGTGGCTGGGTGGTGTGTGTGTTCATGACAGCAGTAGGCGTGTGAGTGTAAAGAGAAGCTGAGAAGTTCCCTTTCTGCGCAGGCCGAAGGAGGGTGGTAATAGTGTGGAGGGAGGATGGGAGGATGGGTCCTAGAGGAAGGAGCGGAGAACGAGTTAAACCTCTCATTCTAAAATGCGCCCAACTATTGGTTGAGTAAATTAATAGGAAAATGCAACGTTTCAGTAGAGAGATGATGGAGGAGGGGTACCTGTCATCTCCAGACTGCTGATGTCCTGGTAGGTGGAACCAACCTGGCTCTTCACGTTTACACTGCGGGCCTGAAACACACGTACACACACAGATGCAGACCAAGCAACAGCAGGGTATGCGTTTACTATACGCACGCATGTGCACACACACCTTCAGTGTCTGCATCGTGGCTCCTCTAAACGCCCTGGGGGCCAGCAGTGTTGGGGGGAGCCCCGCCTGGGAACCCGTTGAAGCCACCAGGCTCTTACAGTTGATGAGGAAGTTGATGAGGGTGAAGGTGTGCGGTCCCTCCACACACACCATGGACTCCGGCTTGTGGTCCAGAGACACGGTCTGCCCTTCCTTACGGCTATAACGGGGGGTGAAGGAGCCTCGACTGGCTGTTTGTTGCCGATACAAAGCTGAAGACAGCGTGTGACAGACACACACAAAACACACAGAGCAGCAGGAGGATACAGTTGCATGGTGATGCTGTCTGGCTTCTTGATTTTGTCCTGGATGCCCATCTCCTTGAGCCAGGAAAAGCTGCCTTCTTCGTCGTCGTTCTCTCCTTCGTCCCCTGTCTGAGTCTCCTTGCCCTCTTTCAGCTCAGAACACCTACAATTCAAATCATCGGCCACAGTCCGAAAACATGTCAGCAAAATCAATCAGTTTTTTGAATTGGGTTTGACCCGTGATACATGCAATGTTTTTTCTTCTTTCATTACATGCATTCAGCGTAGCCTCCAGAAGGTGTGATTATTAATAATCCACCTTGCCGATAAACAGAACTTTAGCAAAACAGGGTTGGACAGTGTTAAGGAAGACTTTTTTAGCTGGGATCGTTTTAGATGTCCGCAGAAAACAAACTCCAGAAAACTGAGGATGCAAAGTCCTGCATTTCCTTTCCCTGCTCTCCCTCCGTCTGTCTGTCTGTCACTCTCACTCACACACACACACACACACACACACACACACACTCACACACCTCAGTACCTCAACTTTTTGCCTTCTAGCAGCATTCAGATGAAACTGTAATCCCCCCACTCGCACACAAGGGTGGTGTACAGGGGAGAGGACACACTTACTCCTGGTCTTCCTCGTCTCCCTCCTGCACGGTCAGGTTCTGCTGCTCCCTGCTCCTCCTCCTCTCTTCCACTAGAGGGAGGCTGAACTCAATGCCTAAACAAGTACACAGGTAATAGTAAGCTCCAAGAGGAATACATTAATGATGCTGTCTCGACCAAAGTTTAAAACTAAATGTGTGCTTTATATTTGTCAAAATTACACAATCCCTGCTTTGACAAACCAGGAATTAAAGGAAACAACAGATATGTCTGGACCTCTACGTGCTGGGTCTCTGTCCTCTGGATGTATTTTACATGGAGCAACATGAATGACTATCTGAAGACGGGAAGCTGAAAGTGTAGGATTCTAAACGACTCACCGTCAGCCTTCATTGCCTCTCGGAGACCCCGGGTCGTAGGAGAAATGGCGGCAGTGATGCTGCTGGAGCCCCCGAGACCGGCTGCCCTGAATAGCACTGTAAACTGACAAAAAGGAACAGATTAGATTAAGGGAATCGAAAGCAATGTGCTCCTGGGAGCGATATGGGGAAAAAAGATGCCATGCACTGTGCTTCCTCCACTGTAAAAACAAAAAGCACCAACACGTACTTGATAGGAGCAGAGATAGAAGTAAGGACACAGTCTGGCCTTCAATAGACTGTAGAGAGACGACAGGCTGACTGACCTGAAGGAGACGAGCAGAAGAGCAATGTACTTGTTGCTTGTTGGTCCCAATTAGCCAAAAAAAGAGAGTTACCCTTCAAGTCAAACTGAAACTAAATTGCATTGTTTTTTGTTGCTTACTAGAAATCCCTTCAATGTGAAGACACACACGTTATTACTGTAGGTCAAACTAACACACCATGTGACTTCACAGAAAAGGAAGCTCACCATTCACTCATGAGACTCTGCTGCAGGGCTCGGTCTTGTGCCCACGGGGCACTCCTCCCAGCGAAGCTTCTCTCCGCGTTGATCCTGGGAAACAGGGGGATCCAGGGCAGGGAGGGGTGCTGCCAGTACACCAGACTCTGCTGGAAGGCCTGACGGAGCTCAGAGCAAGACCTGGGGTCCTGCAAGGAGACACGGGTGGGAGTGGCACCATCACATGTCATCTCCATACAACAATTATGTTTTCATGGTTTAAATTGTTTACTCGAACACCATGGAGGAAGAAGTACTCATCCGTCTAATGCTTTAAGCAGTGTTTCCCCGTTTTATACAGAAGGGGTGTCATGTTTACATCCTGTCAGCTGTAAAGATGGAGCCGATTTGAACTCCTTTTATATAGGCTACATTATACTTATAACTAATATGTATTATTATGTAGTATATGAGTAGAGTTAGGAGACTGGTTTAACAAGATTATTATTAATTATCACTCACATCAGTGCATTTCTAACGCGTACCCCCCCAAAAAGTAGTATGCTTGCATACAAGCTCTTTGGAAAAGCAAAATTCAAATCGCTTTGGATTGAAGTTGAATATCTGGCTCTACCCATTCTGTACCTCCCCTGCGATTACTCTTATAGCCTCAATAGCAGATAGACTGCAATGGGACTATTAGGAATCACGATAAAGGAGAAGCAAAGAATATGAAGTTATTTTAAAGCCATGCGACTCCATACACAAAACTCTCACTGTGGTGAGCTATCAACCCAAAATCTATACAATCTGGCCGCTTATAATAAAATTTATACCCATCTGCTCCCCTCTCTCAGGTGTTTTTAGGAGGGTCATTTTATATTGCATTATTATTCTTTCAGCAATATTGTAAAAGAATTTCAATATTAATATCAACTTGTGAGATATATTTGCACTAAAAACATACACAGAATGGAGTACAGCGCTTCAGTAGCCTAGTATACTTTGATGGATTTAACTTTTAAATGTAAAACGTGTTTGCGTAGGAGGGCACGCCCCTGGACCGACGGATGCCCTGCTCCCACAGTCCAACACGGAGAGCCAAAGCACCACATTGAATGGCTGTTGAAGAAATCTCTCCATAGACGTGCTGCTACAGCGACACAAAAACAAGTAGGATTTTCTCTGCGACGCCTCGTGCGGACGACGGACTACCTGCAGGCTGTGAGGCAGAGTGCTGAACTGAGCTCTGCAGTGACGACTGAGCCCCGAAGCCTCCTCCTGGGCTTTGGGCTGCTCGGCCCACGACAGGGTGAGCGGGGAGGTGAAGAGGAGGCGGGTCTTCAGGCTCCAGTCCGCTGGATACTCTGTGCACACGGGGGGAGCTATGGAGGCCGGAGCAATGGCCTGCGGACTCTGGGAGGAGACATTTGTATACAAAGTATTTGAAGAGGTCGAATGCAAGCGGCTTCGCTACTCAGGGAAATGGAGAGGATGAAACCTTCAGCAGCAGGCTGCCGACATCATCTTCTTCTTCTTCAAAGAGAGAGTCGTCCTCAGAGAAAGTCAGACACTTCTAAAGGCAGATGACAGAAAGTATAAAATTCACACATCAGTGATATAGAAAATCATATCAATCTGACTTTAACTGCGTTACATGAAAACTTCATGCTGCATCATATTCAAAGTGAAGCCGGTGAGATCAACTAGAAATCATCAAAATAAATAGTATCATTTGTAAATACCGCATTTTCCCCTCACGGCCCACAAACATTAATCATGTTAAAGGTGTTTTCTGGTTCTATGACAGTGTTTTTAGGGCCTGAACCGGCCTGATAACTCAATAGTTGCTATTAGAGTGAAGTGATTCTGTACTGATCCGGGACCCATTAACGTTGCCATAAACCCACCTTGCTGTTGATGTCTTGGTGCTCCTGTAGTTCCGCCTCGGCCAACCGGTCCCTGAAGGCCACCGTTGCCCCCGCGTGGCGCTCCTTCGCCGCTGACATGTCCTCCTCCTTTTCCTCCTCCTCTCCCTCGTCTTCGCTCCTTCGCCTTGAACTGTCCGCAGCTTCCCCACTCCCGTCGTCGTTGTAAATGAGAAACTTCTTCTTGGGGCTGAAGGTATTCTCGATGTTGGCGAAAGGGTTTCTGCGCTTCGTCCCTCGTCCGGAGGGGTTCTGGTTGTTGAAAAGCGGTCCCGGGGAGAAGGGCCTGACGCACGCCCGCGGAGAGCCGCTTTGTCCGGGTGCGCTGGGGCTGGAGAAGACACTGGCGTCGCTGCGAGTTCTTTTCCTCCTCATTCGCATTATTTCAGCTGGTCGCTTGAAACTGGGTGAATAGCCTTCCTGTTGAGACATCGTGAGGACAAAAAGTTTCCCCAAAACCGCCGAATATCAAGGACTACAGGACCAAGAACGGAACCGCTGTCGCTTGTTTTGTTGCGCCTTTCCGCACTGTACAAACTTCCCGCGCAGCTTGCTGACGTGAAGTCTCCCTCTCGTGTTGCGTTTACTTACATAGAAAAGAAAACGGAAAATGGAATACAATTTTAGAAGAAGTGTCCTATCACTTTCCAAGTGATATCACAAGATAAAACACGTAATTTTCACCCAGCAAGTGGCGTTATTGAAGAATAAAATGACAATTAATCACATCGTTGAATTGTAATTGAAAATTTAAATGAGTGGTATGTCTGGGGAAATCACGTTCTTGTTAATTATTACTATTAATTACTATTTTGTAACATCTGAAAAAATATTTTATTGAACTTGATCATTTGTAATTTGACTTTTATCAAGATTTTTATAATTCACAGTAATTTTGTTTTCCTTGTCACCTTCAGTAATTATGATTATTAGGATGAGGATCCAAATGGATCAAACACACAATGCATCCATCCATCCATCCATCCATCCATCCATCCATCCATCGTCAAACCGCTTATCCTGCACACAGGGTCGCGTCTATCCCAGCCAATCGCAGGGCTACACAGAGACACACAACCATTCACACTCAAATTCACACACCTACGGGAAATTTAGAGTCCCCAATCGACCTGATCCCCAGAGCATGTCTTTGGATTGTGGGAGGAAGCCGGAGAACCCGGAGAGAAAGGGCACTGGGCGGAGTCGAACCCAGGACCTTCTTGCTGTGAGGCGACAGTGCTAACCACCACACCACCGTGCGCCCATCAAACACACAATGTATAACCCAAATCTCTATTATTTTACATTTTATTTTTTTTATAGTTGTTACCCCAACTTTAAACTAGGTTAAAAGACTTATAATGCCCGCCGAACTTATGGCTTAGTAGTAGACTTTAAATATAAATAATATAAAAATAAATGTCACCTCCACCTCCTCTCACAGTGATTAATAGGACATTATGTAAATGTTGTCTCCCTTGTTAATTTCCCCCTCGTTTGTCATTACTGCAGGTCATCAATCTTATCTGAAGCTCAGCCGGGCGTCAAATGATGGCCGCTGTTGGAAATCCATTCTCGTATGTGTTGGGCAGAAGAGAGAACTGGGGCTATAATAGTCTCTTTTCAATTGAGGGCTAACAATTATTGCACAGGGGTTCTGAAATGCTGTTATTGGTTTTCTTTAACTGTTATTAGAGTGGTAATAACTCACTTTCCCATTGTTCTATTAGAAGCGTGCTAAAGGTAGACACCCTCTGAGGCATCTGCTAAAGCCCAGCTGAAGCCCTTCTCCCCATGAGCCCCTGAACGTTACTCCACCTACAACTTATGTTATTAGGTTATTATTATCTCTTATAAATGTGAGAACCTTTAGAGAAAAATAACTCAGAAACTGCTTTGGGGCCGCATACTTGGTGAAAGCAGAATGCAGTGAGACCACTAGATGTCTCTGCTCCCCCAGGGCTAAATGACTCTGTCTCATCACTACAAACACAGGCAGCACTACTCTTGGATATTCACAATCTCCACACACAATACACTTGTACTTCTTTGAAGTATTTACATATGAATGAAATATAATGTGTGTAAAAGGGAGAAAAAGGTCACATCATCAAGTTCCATTCAAATTAAAGTGATCTTTTATCTAGATATTTGTTGATATGTTGAGGAGAAAGACTTCTGTCATAGTTAATACAAAGCTGTCTTCATGTTTCTGTGTGACCCTGATTTATAATGTTGCGGAATATTTCCCTCACAAAGGAAGAAACGTTACAATTAAGGATAGTATAATATGTTACCTCTGGGAGGAATAAATCATGTATTTTATAAGCTGCACCCGTTCCCTTCCCGTTTCACCCAAAGTAATTAGTTAATTTTCAAATAGAATAAAAGTCAAAGTAGTTCGCAGGGACCTGAAATTGAATTAGAGGCTCCATCATAGTGAACATAAGGCCTGGTTTCATTTTTTCAAAATAATACCCACTGAGTAACTTGAGCCATACTTGAGGTATGGCTGTGTTTCAAAACAAAGGCCTGCAACTCTGTATTTTGACAGCAATTAGGGATCGATCTATTATACATCTAAGTGTTTATTTAACATCTTTATTCATACCTCTCATCCCACCTCGTCTTACTCAGAACTGGTAATATTGGCTTTGGGATGCGCAAGTAGCAGGACATTTTGTTTATAAACTTGAAAATGATTTTTACAAACCTTTTTCCCCATCTTTTATACATAACAGTCCTGCATACTCATTAACTGTGTCTGAGCAGCCTTGTTGTCCTTGTCTAGAGCTGTTATTTCTGAGCGCCGAGGGGTGAACGGGTTGGCTGGGTCTGTTTCGGTATGTTCTTATCGCTTATTTGGAGAATTGTCAACACCCCAGTTTTTCCCAACCTTCTCCTGCAGGACATCATCTCTCCATACTGCGTATACTCTGCCTTGCTGCCGTTCACCTTTATTTGGCAACTTGTGTGCGTCTGTGTGTATAAACTGGCAGACACAACAAGCTGGGGCTTGTCAGTTTGCCTCGTGAAATTCCTACAGGTTCAGGAATAGCACCGGATAAAAGTATGTGTCTGTGTGTGTGGCGGGGTGTTTAGGAATACTCATAGATACAGGTGGCGACATGCAGAAGGAAATTCTAGCGAAAAACAAAGAAACACACAGGACAAGAGTTTTATTTCCATTGCAAGAATGTTTATAGAAATCAAAACCAAATGTGCATTATCAACAATTCCAAAACGAACTCATTTGTGTGCGTGTGCATGTGTGTGTGTGTGTGTGTGCGTGCGTGTGACAGAGAGAGGTAAGAGTGATGAAAGCATGAAAACATGATCAAATCCAGGTCTTAATTACAGACCTGATTATATTTAGTACAGATCAACAGTGGATCATGGGTAAATGTGACACACATACACACACACACATGAAATGCTACTAAGATGGTATTGCAAAAATACATTAAAGGATTTTACGGGTTCTCAATGTTTGCAGAATTCTTTGTGCTTAGGGCCGTGAATAATAAATATGTAATCAATCGACTAGCTCAACCGTTGTAAAGCTAAGATTTGTGAACCATTTAACAGCGTTAGCCCAAATTTGTCCTGGCGGCGTACGACACACACAGTGAGCATCATGTTTCTTTCATTTCTTCAAGAGGAAATGGGCTGAGCTGTGTAAAAAAAAAAAAGCGAGAAGGAAAGAGAAGTGGTTAAGTCATGGGGAAGAAAGAGTGATAGAAAGACGAAGGTCAACACAAACAGGCTGTGGAAATGTGTGCCATGAGTCCAGCGATCCATACACAGCACCAACAACATTATAATGAGGGATGAAGGCTTCCTATTTTACAAAGGAGGCCGAGATCAGTCCGGTGCTGCTGCATGCACTTTGACCCCGCTCCTCTCTTTTTATCAGTCCGAGGGACATCTTCTCTCCACTGCTCTGTCCTGAGAGTGAGGCCCGGCAGGTTCCGACCCAGGTCTACTCCCCGCGGTGTGGCAGTAAGTCATTCTGCTTGTTTTACGCTGTTTTGTCAGTAGAAAGCTGAAATCTAGCTCTTGGTCAAGTGATGACGTTTTGTACTGGGTACTGCTTTTTCCAAATGTGACTGTGGTTTATTTTTGCTCAATCCCACATTAACCATTAACCGCCACAAATTATGACGACAGCCCCAAATGTAGATTGATCTGCAACTGAAAATAGTTCTGAAGAAATGTAGTAGGTTTGAGTAACGATAAAAACTACAGTGACCAGATGTGGTGGAAATTAAGCAAACCGTTATAAAACAGAAACCACCAATTATTTTGCGTTTACTTTTCCAGCAGTAATCGAGGACCACATAGAGTGCTGATTCATGTGTTCAGTGTCTGCTGTCTGCCGTCACCTAACCAGGTGGTCACTTTGCACTCCCTATCCGGGATCAGTAAGGTCTCCAGACCGCTTCGGCGGCCGCCATGTTTGTTGGGGAACTGCTGTGGCTGGACTCCACCTCCACCCCCACTCCTCCATTCTGATTTGGCAAAGAGGGGTGTAGAAGGGAGGAGCCTGTGGAGGCATTGGTGCACGGTGGCAGGATCCTCGGTGGAGAGCGTGAGTCACTGCTGCCTCCTCCCCCGGTCCATCATGGAGAACTGGTATGAGCCGGCGGCGGTGGAGTAATACAGGTGATACGGTGAGGTGGACTGGAAGTGCCCGTTTTGAGCCTGGTGGGGGGTGTTCGCCGGATAGGGCGGAGGCAGGTAGGTGTGATACCTCCCTGCCGGAGTGGTCGCCATGGCTGTCGCCATGGTGATGCCGAGGGCGCCATTAGAGACGGCGTTGTGAGAGGGGGTGTAGGTGAAGGCAGCCGCTGTGGAAGGGTAGTGGACTCGGGGGTCAGAGAAGCGAGAGTCGGGCAAGGAGGGAAGGGAGGAGAAAGGCCGTTCTAAGGTCATCCTGGGGTCGCCAAAGGCCGTGAGGTCGGGACCTGAGAGGGGGCAAAAGGTCAGAGGTTACAACCCACTTATCTACTAGATTCTCTATGGTTGATCTGTGCACACAGGGGCAGACTGGCCAACAAGGATAGCGGGGAAATCTCAGATGGGCAGACGAGGTTGGGCTGGTCAAATACCGGCCCACCTCCATCACCAACCGGCCCTCCCTCGGACATTACTGGACCCTACTATATTGTGTGCTTCAAAGAACACTTTAAATTTACTCTTAACAGCTGAAGCGTTAATCCTGGCTGACATTTATATTGCTCCTCGCGATCTGTATGCACACTGATGCTTTCCATCTTCCTTACTTACCTAATCTCTTACGTCAGTTTAACTTTGTTTTAGGTGTCCGGCCCGCGCTACAATTATATCCGTCCCGCAAGTAAATATCATATGTCTTTCAGCCATTTAATAGGATGCACACGGCTGATACTAAAAGTCCCAGAAGGCACTGCATACTTGCGACAAGACAGGCGACTATCAGGTATCTTGCTATTCATTCCAGTTTTCAATTTTGGCCCTTTGTGATTGAGTTTGACCTACACTGCTCTAGCCTACTCAAAACTTGCGTCACCCGGTTTCGGAGTTTGGAGTGCGACCCAACAGCGCGGCACCGTGGAGCTAAAAAGCTCAGGGAGAAAAAGAAGAGAGGTCTACAGGAAGGTGAATAAAAATATTGAAATATTTACAACTTATTTGGGAAACTTGAAATTTGGGAAATCGACTGGTGACACAACTTGTTTTTTTGCTATGCAACTTCAACACCCCTACACACACATAGACACAGACCCAGCATGCAACACTACTGATACCACTGTTCACACCCAATCGTATGTTCTGTTCTCATTTCTACAATATAGTTCAAACTAATTCTACCCTCGAATTCCAGTGTCTTTATTGTGTGGTCTTTCTCTGTTGACATGCATTAGTCAAGGCTCTATACGTATAACCATCTAATACCAGCCCAGTTAAGCATATTCATCTAGCAAACTATACCTACATTAGAATGTTACAATAGCCTGTAACATTTTAGTCCAAGTGTGCAGACTAATTGGTGCATTCAAATATTATTTAAAAAAAAAGATCTAATTTCTTTTTCATGTTCCACAGTTATATCAAGTGTATGGGTATTTTCCAGGTAGGGCCCTGACTGGTCAATACAAATTATGCATTGAGTGTGCAACGCGCCCTGTATTGAGTGGGCCGTTCTGACAGTAACTCCAGGGCCACTCTTTTCCCGTAGTCCGCCTCTTTGTTCACATGCTTGTGTGCGTTACCTGCGAGTCGCGACGACAAGTCACTGAGCGACGAGCGGCCAGGCGATAGCGGATTGGATGTGTGGACACTGGGCGTAGTTATCTGACCAAGGTAGGGATAGGACTGGTCGTAGGACCATGACGGAGACGGCTGCATCTGTCTGGAGTCTAAGAGAGAGATGGAAGTTTGAAACGTTCAGAGCTGTGAGGGAAAGAGTTTTAGAGCAACGCTGCCTTCGCTTGGAATCAGACAACCGGCACGGGAAAAACTCAATTCAAAGCGGATAATGATTTGTTGCTTTGGTGATGCCATGAAGTAGTTAGAAAAAAATAGTTTTCTGGGAAATTCTGGCAAAAAGTAAGAATTGACTTTTACCAGCCTGCCTGATTGCATTTGAATGCAGTACAAGTAGAATGTTGTAAGATGAGTTGAGGCCGCATATAAGTGTTAACACGCTTACTTCCTCAATGGGCTATTTTAGAGATCTAGCATAACACATCATTAAAGTTGGGGGATGGATTCAAATGCACAATATGGAGCGTGATCTGTGCAGAATAAAGGCTGATCTAAATGAACCAGAGGAAGCCAAGCTTATTGGGGGGTTGTATGTTATTTCATTCAATCCAGTCTTTTTCCCTTCAGTCCAATAAATGACGCCGATCATACTGAGACTCGCAGACAAGAGTGTGTACATGTAAGGGTTTGTGTGTGTGTCTGTGTATGTGCGGCCAGACGAGGACGCAAATTGTACACAGCAGCTAAGACGCCAATGAAGGCTTTTCAAGTCCAGCCAAGAGCTCTTTCCAGCATTGACATGTGTGTGTGTTTCTGTGTGTGTTTGTGATGGTGAAGCCCAAGGCCCTGTGCCAAGCCCCCTCCTTTTCTGGCGTCTCTTAACACCTCCACACATTGCCATAACGGTTCATGCTGTGCTCAGTAGGCCACATTACTATACTTGTTTTACTTATACACTTGCTGCAGCAAAGTTCACACACGCTTTTATTTCATGGAACTAGCTAGTTGGCTGTTGACAGTCAGTGGGATCGACAACACGGGATGAACGGCATTTAACTACAGGCAGTCCACTGGTAGCATTCACGGATTCAGCTGCCAGTTCTGTTTTAAGTTGATGACATAATTAAAGAACCAGCGTGGTGATTAAAGATCATCCACTTCGCCGAACAGAGACACACACACACAAGAAATGATGGTGATCGGATTAGGAAGCTGGTCACCCCGGTGCGCTGCAGTATCGCTACAACCAAGTTATTTTTTAGGTAATTACATGCTTGTTCAAGTCAGAGCTTCCTTATATGCATTCATGTTGTAGGTTTTGTATGCATGAAGTGTCTGCCTGCTATTCTTTATAGTGTTGCGCTGGCATTTATTCATGTAGAAAAAACATGATCCTATTTTCTTTGAAGTTTACTTGTGTTGTATTCTATGTAACACATCCACCCCCAGCCGCTCTCTCCTCTACCTTCTCTTTCAGCCACACACCCAGGCACACTGGTAGGGGTGGTGGCACAGGTCTACTCATTTCACCCAAATGGAGCTTTTGTCTTTACCCTCTTCCACCATCCACCCAACTGTCTTTCGAATTCCATGCTGTAACAGTTACTCACCCGGTGCAATTAACCATTGTTGTCCTTCACCGTCCGCCAGGCTCCTTGGGTCATTTCCTGGAAGAACTGGACATTCTCCTGTCCAACTTCCCTGACCGGTCTCTCTTCTTCTCTTTTTGTCCAAAACTCTTAAACGTGCGTTTTTTAACCAACTCTCCTCCTATCTCCACCATAACAACCTCCTTGACCCCCACCAGTCAGGCTTCAAGGCAGGCCATTCCACAGAGACTGCTCTCCTTGCTGTCTCAGAGCAACTCCACACTGCTAGAGCCGCCTCTCTCTCCTCTGTCCTCATCCTTCTGGACCTCTCTGCTGCATTTGACACAGTCAACCACCAGATCCTTATTTCCTCCCTTCAGGAACTTGGTGTCTCAGGCTCTGCTCTCTCCCTTCTCTCGTCCTACCTCGACGGCCGCACCTACCGGGTAACCTGCCGAGGATCTGTGTCGAAACCATGTCCCCTTACTACGGGAGTTCCTCAGGGTTCCGTTCTGGGCCCCCTCCTCTTCTCGCTCTACACCAACTCTCTCGGCGCTGTCATTCGCTCGCATGGCTTCTCCTACCACAGCTATGCCGATGACACACAACTAATTCTCTCCTTCCCTCCCTCGGACACCCAGGTGGCGGCACAGATCTCTGCCTGTATGACTGACATCTCTCAGTGGATGTCCGCCCACCATCTGAAAATCAAGCCCAACAAGACTGAACTACTTCTCTTTCCAGGACCTGACTGTCAACTTTGGCAACTCAGTGTTAACGCTCACTTTAACCGCTAGAACCTCGGCGTCACAATCGACAGCCAACTCTCCCTGACTCCCAATATTACTGCAACAACACGATCCTGTAGATACACTCTCTACAACATCAGGAGAATACACCTCTTCTCACTCAGAAGGCTGCCCAGGTACTGATTCAGGCTCTTGTCATCTCCCGCCTGGACTACTGCAACTCCCTCCTGGCAGGTCTCCCTGCAACCACCGGTCGACCTCTGCAGCTCCTCCAGAATACAGCAGCTCGACTGGTCTTTAACCTTCCGAAATTATTCCACACTACTCCACTCCTCCTCTCTCTTCACTGGCTACCGGTGGCTGCCCGCATCCAGTTCAAAACATTGGTGCTCACCTACGCTGTGAATGGATCGGGTCCAGTTTACATCCCAGACATGGTGAAACCCTACATTGCGACCTGCACCCTCCGCTCTGCATCTGCAAAACTGCTCGTCCCTCCCTCACTGAGAGCAAAACACTCGACTAGATCACGACTCTTTGCTGTCCTTACTCCGAAATGGTGGAATGAGCTCTCTGAAGACACCAGGACCGCACAGATTCTTCACATCTTCTGCCGCAAACTAAACACACACCTCTTCAGACTCTACCTCGACTAAAGACTAACAAATTGTAGCACTTAAATTGTACTTATAACGCCACTCATCTATAGCAAATTGTAAATTGGCTTATTTGAGGAAACGTTCTTGTTTCTTGTTCTTCTGAGTTTGTACCCTATGGTTGAATGTACTTATTGTAAGTCGCTTTGGATAAAAGCGTCAGCTAAATGATATGTAATGTAATGTAATGTAAAATGTATACATCTTTGGATCCTGGTAATCTCCTTATGGGTATTCAGGGATGTTGAAGGCCTTGTTTAGACAACCAATATTGATTCTACTATTAGTACAACATACATTACATTGAAATGTATCATATCCAGTGGTGGACAATACTTGAAACTAAAAAGATGTTTTTCAAATTCTGACGGTTATACGTTTTCTTTTCTTTCTTTTTTTTTTACATAGTAGCACTTCCTGACAGCTGACTCTCATTTCCTCCTTCATGACTTGCTTCCTCACTTACGGACACACGCGCGCACACACGCACACACGCACACACACACACACGCATAGACATAAAAAATGCACATACTGCGTCACTACCACTGAAGGCAGAAGAGGAACAGATACTGTATTTTTGTGCCTCATATAGTATCCACGGCAACCGCAACACACACTCTCACACACATACACAAACACGCACACACAGACCACAATGGATCTCACTAAAACCACAAGAAACGTGTTTTATGCAAGCTGAATGCAAGAGAATGACACACAGTCACTAGGATGTGAGTTAAACAGAGAAAGAAAGCAGGTTAACATAAGGAGGCGATAAAAGGCTGCCTTTACACCTGTAGTTGGGTTCATTCATCCAGACGAAGGGAAACAATGACAGACTGACAGGTAATAAACAGATTTCACAATTAACTGATGGACATAGTCCTAGTTTAGCTTTTGAGATTGCACTTAAATCACACATCTGTTATCATGCACGTTGGTGTCACAAAGGAATGACACCAGAGAGCGGACCGGGATCCACCATTTCAGGCTGTGCTAATCAAACCAAACTGGGTAACTGTGAAAGCATCCACAAACCAAAGATTTAAAAAACACCAGGCCCAATATCACTCCCGGGAAACACATAGAGCAGTGCTCCCCAACCACCGGGCCGTGGACCGGTACCGGGCCGCACCACAGAAAGCTTATATATATTATATATATATTTTTTGAAAATTGACCGGATTTTCTCCTAATTATGTGCCCTCGTCCCCTGACATATTCCCCACACGTCACCAGCCGTTTTTCTTCACGTTTACAATTGTGTCCTCTTACCGTGCACGGCAGTTTCGCCCACCAGCGAACACAGAGCGCGAGTACTACTCCCCCCCCCGTCGGACCTTCTCGACCGGTCCGCGAAATATTGTCTGACATAAAAACGGTCCGTGAGGTAAAAAAGTTGGAGACCACTGACATAGAGAATAGAAATGGAACACGGGGACTGTGAAATCTATCGGCCATAAAGCAACACTAACCTGGAACCACAGACAGTTTTAAAAATCCTGCACAAGACACATACAGTGCATCCGGAAAGTATTCACAGCGCTTCACTTTTTCCACATTTTGTTATGTTACAGCCTTATTCCAAAATGGATTAAATTCATTATTTTCCTCAACATTCTACACACAACAACCCATAATGACAAAGTGAAAACAGTTTTTTGTAAATTTTTGCAAATCTCTTAAAAATAAAGAACGAAAACATAACGTGTACATAAGCATTCACAGCCTTTGCCATGACACTCAAAATTTAGCTCTGGTGCATCCTGTTTCCACTGATCATCCTTGAGATGTTTCTACAACTTGATTGGAGTCCACCTGTGCTAAATTCAGTTGATTGGACATGATTGAGAAAGGCACACACCTGTCTCTATACGGTATCACAGCTGACAGTGCAAATCAGAGCATAAACCAATCCATGAAGTCCAAAGAATTATCTGTAGACCTCTGAGACAGAATTGTATCGAGGCACAGATCTGGCGAAGGGTACAGAAAGATTTCTGCAGCATTGAAAGTCCAAATGAGCACAGTGGCCTCCATCATCCGGAAATAGAAGAAGTTCTTAGAGTTGGCCGCCCAGCCAGACTGAGCGATCGGGGGAGAAGGGCCTTAGTCAGGAAGGGGGACCAGGAACCCGATGGTCACTCTGACAGAGCTCCAGCGTTGTTCTATGAAGAGAGGAGAACCTTCCAGAAGGACAACCATCTCTGCAGCACTCCACAAATCAGGCCTGTTTGGTAGAGTGGCCAGACGGAAGCCACTCCTCAGTAAAAAGCACATGACAGCCCGCCTGGAGTTTGCAAAAAAGCACCTGAAGGACTCTCAGACCATGAGAAACAAAATTCTCTGGTCTGATGAAACAAAGATTGAACTCTTTGGCCTGAATGCCAAGCGTCATGTCTGGAGGAAACCAGGCACTGCTCATCACCTGGCCAATACCATCCCTACAGTGAAGCTTGGTGGTGGCAGCATCATGCTGTGGGGATGTTTTTCAGCGGGAGGAACTGGGAGACTAGTCAGGATTGAGGGAAAGATGAATGCAGCAATGTACAGAGACATCCTCGATGAAAACATGCTCCAAAGCGCTCTGGACCTCAGACTGGGGCGACGGTTCATCTTCCAACAGGACAACGACCCGAAGCACACAGCCAAGATAACAAAGGAGTGGCTTCGGCACAACTCTGTGAATGTCCTTGAGTGGCCCAGTCAGAGCCCTGACTTGAACCCGATTGAACATCTCTGGAGAGATCTGAAAATGGCTGTGCACCGACGCTCCCCATCCAACCTGATGGAACTTGAAAGGTTCTGCAAAGAAGAATGGGAGAAACTGCCCAGAAATAGGTGTGCCAGGCTTGTGGAATCATACCCAAGAAGACTTGAGGCTGTAATTGCTGCCAAAGGTGCTTCAACAAAGTATTGAGCAAAGACTATGAATACTTATGTACATGTTATGTTTTCGTTCTTTATTTTTAACATTTGCAAAAAATAGCAAAAAACATTTTTCACTTTGTCATTATGGGTTGTTGTGTGTAGAATGTTGAGGAAAATAATGAATTTAATCCATTTTGGAATAAGGCTGTAACATAACAAAATGTGGAAAAAGTGAAGCGCTGTGAATACTTTCCGGATGCACTGTAGATAGCACAGGGGTAACTCTGCTAGCATGCTAACAGACTCCTGTCCATCAACAGATCCAGAATCTACCTGTTGCGACAGCTTTGACCGATAACATGGCAGCCAATAAGTTCCTATGCAATTGGACAAATAGCTGGGATTGGCCTGTTTGAATCCAAAGTAAAGGACTGTAGGTCATTTTACAGGCTGGTCTCGCATAGTTCTAACAACAACTTTGCTATTATAAATTCCCGGATGTAAATTAGCTAGAGGAAAAAAAAAAATATACAGCATATACATAGCCAGTGAGGAAATGTCCCTCCTGAGATGCTGTAGGTTCAGGGCCCTTCTACTTCCTGGTTCACCGATTAGTCTGGGTATCAAGGCTGCACATAAGGACACTACAGAAGCATGCTGTGCCTTTCTGTGTTGGAGTCTGGTTTGACAACCCACTAAGCTGGTAGGTCGTTTTATCCTCCATATCTTTAGAAAAAATGATTTGGCTATTTGTGACGGTTCTGGTTTGTGACCCAGAGCCTCAGGGAGGCCCAAACGAGGTGGGAGACGGCCCAGGTGGAGAGAAGTCCAGCCTGGGATTAGATTTTCTGTCATATTTTTTTCTGTTTTGTTCAGTTAGTACTTTTTGTTGGTAGTTTTCCTGCATCTTAACTAAAATTGTGTTTTTTTTCCCTCAGGTTATATTCTATTAACTAAATCTGGGTCTTTGTTTCTGTTTAGGAGTGCTTGGGGCTGGCAGCAGCATGGCTACCTGGCCGGTGGTCGGGCTGGTGACTGGGCCTTGCTCCTCACATTTTTCAGTTGACAGTATTTTCTCTCGTTTTCCACGTTTTCTTAGTTTCATGCTTTTGGCTTTGATTCATATTGTTTGGCGTGAGTGTGTGTTGCGCATTGGAGCCCGTGAGGGTCCTGTCCCAGAGCCTGTTTCCCCCCCTCTCTTCTCGGCCCGTTACAGCCTCGCCAAATAGTAGGAGGGAAATGTTCTCGTGGCCCCGTAGATGTCCTTCACTCAACCATGCAAACACAAGCTAACTAAGGCAGAACTGTTTTTTGCAACTGACTATTTTAAAACGGGGTTATTTTTAAAACCTTAAACCATAGCAAATTCCCGCTTGGAAGGCCGCCGGCGACGTTAGCAGTGTAGACCCGTCATAGCAAGTACAAAAACGAATGCTTAGCAAGTGTTACAATAACTCCGGTCCCATACGAATACCTGTCTGACTTACCTGTGAGTCCCCTAATCTCTAGAAAGAAGTGTATTAGTTTCTAAAGCCTGGTTTATGCTTCTGTGTTTTCAGAGCCCCCCTCCTGTGTGTCCCTTGTGTGTTTTTCTAGGCTTGCGCTGAAAGCAAGAGAACGGACCAGATTGAAGAGCTTTTGTCGGAAGAAATGCGTAAATATGACCGCTTATACAAGGCGTCATTGGCGGACGGCCTCTGATTCACGGAGGGAGATCTCCGCAAACGACGGTTTGCCAGTCGAGGGGAACAAAGTTGGGAGGAAAATAGGGGACAAATGTGTCCGCGACGAAAAGTAGCAGTGGCGATGCACGGGGCAATAAAGTCTATGATAAATAAACAAACAAACCAACAACCTCCACACACAAAGACGTGACTCTCTAGGTTGTCTTCAACAAAAACACGTTACTCCACCTGTTGTTCTGGAGGTGAATTGCTCTGTAACACACGCAAGACTTTAGAACCATGAATTGATAAAAGTATCTGCTGTATTAATGTAAAGCACTCTTGGGTTGTGCTCGGTATTATAGATGGTTGGGAAAAGACTAAAGTACCTGAGGCCTGGAAAAGTACCAGGAGAAGCATTGGAATGTACAGTATTGACCTATACCTTATATGGGGACGTCATTGTAAATATATATTGACCCCTACTTTTATCAGGGTTGTCATTTTAATGTATATTAACACATACCGTATAGGACATTTCATTGTATATGTATATTGGCCCATACTCTATTTGGGTGTGTTGTGAATCAATTACTTGCTCCTCCTGTTAATTTTAGAAGATCAATCAAATTATTTTATTTGGTAGCATTGCCCTAACATGGCTTTGAGCTTTGTGTGTAACAATAAAATAGGGTTATTATGTTGAAACCGCCTGATGTCCGTTCATTCAAATATCATCAGTACTAGAAAGTTTGCATTGTAAAAATTTACCAAGATCTTTGGGTGTGACAAACTAAATAGAAAATTAGGACTTTTATAAATTTAGCAGCAGAATAAGTAAACTCTGTAGATGACGAAGCAGAAAAAGGTACTGCTTTATTCAAATTATTATGACTATTTTATTTAACCAGAATGCCTAAAACCTTGCTGGTTGACAGGACAGGGACACTGCAACTTGTACACCTCAAAATAAACTATGTACACGTAAAATGTGGCGATCTAGCTGCTGGTAGTGACCATAACAATACAGTGCAGTTAGCTTTGAACTGCTCTATGAACCCATTGGTCTACCGGTCGATTACAAAGTAGCCTCTGAGGGCCACCAACAATATTTCTGATAAAAATGTGTTTACAGAGATTGGTCATGGACAGGCAGGAATACCGAATCATCTTCTTGGCTAATTTCCTTGATTAAGGCAGATAGGCGGCGTAACCCCCCTTGGGCTCTTACCAGCGGTTATCTGAGCGTGTGTCGGACTGGAGAAGGTGGCCGAGTTGAGAGCTGCAGCTTGCCGGGTGTTAGCGGAGTGTTGATGGTGATGGTGGTGAGGAGGCGTCCCCCTCATAGAGCTCCGTCTCAGCTGCTCAAGCTCTGTTAGCCTCTCCGAAAAAGCCAGGGTGCCGGGTTTGACTTCGTCCATCTTCTGACGATGACCTGGGAGAGAGAGATGAGATGGGGTTATATCTACATATGCAGTATATTGCTCTTCCAGAAGAAAGTCCTAGAACCGTTTGCTTCAGAAGAGACCTTTTGAAGAGAAAGCTCTCAAGGGTTCATCGTGAGACTAAAGGTTTATTAAAAACCCCTCCGTTCAAAAGTGTCCTGGCAAGCACCTTTACTTTAAGAGTGAGGTATGATTGTCCCTCACTTTTGATTGAAAAGTACCTGTTACTATAACTGAAAGCTGTGCAGCACACAGTAGTGAAGCGATAACTTGTCAGCAGATTACTTCTCACTTGTACAAAGATGATATAATCCAGGGATTACAGTAATAGTTACAACCCAACACAAGCAGCAACAGTGGGCCGACATTGATAACACACTCTGTCTGCTAATGTGTTCGGGAATCTGACGACGGTTGCCGCATAGGGGTATGGTAGTCTTCCTGTGTGTGTGTGTGTGTGTGTGTATGTACGGTGGTGGTCTGTCACGCTGTCTGTGGTGTTGGCTGCACTTCAAAGTACTGAGACCGAGCTCCAGTTACAGGCACTTCCTCCCAATGGGGGAAGTGTGCATGTGTGTGTACTAATACCGAATGTATGTGTGTGCGTGAAAGTGTGTGTGTGTGTGTGGGCGAGTTAGAGACGAGTGATGGTTATTCACAGCTGAGCGGAGATCGCAAGATGCTTCCTCTCTTTCTATCACCTCACGTCTCTTCAGACCGATGTTGCTCAGTTCAGTACCATATAACGTATATTACAATTATTCATACGACACACTATATATAAATGTTCTTTAGCACTCTTTTTCTCCTGTTTTCATCTGCCATTAGAAATCCCCATGTTGCATCACTCCGGGTGGGAGAGGAACTCAGTATTGCATCACGTTCCTTACTGACGCACTCTACTGAGAGTTTATTTCAAGCGATTAGAGGTGTGTCTTCACTAACTATCTAGTCTGTAGATGCACATGTTTATGAAATACTTATTTCAGCAAAAAATAAATAAATAAATAAAATTATTAAATGTAAATAAAAATGAATATTTTGATAAAGAGTTTAGTTAATACCCTAATCCTAATCCAATGACTGTCCCTCAAGATACAACTCCATCTTCAGGCAACAATGTTGGAGCGATTCTGCAAAAGACCATTTTACATCCAATGCCAGCATTTGAACGTTCTCATGGTACATGGTCACTGAGGAATGGACTACGGTAATAGCAAGATCATGGTTCTGGTTTACTGAGCATGGCTTTGGATGTTACTTTGTTAGATCTTCCGGTATCTTTTAAAGGGACTCATGGGATGAACATCTGTATTCTCTAAACTATTCTAAACTAGTTGTCTTCTCTCAGTGCCATTTGTTTGTGTAAATTTGGGGATAATTGGCATTAAATGCCATTAGTAGGAATTGTTGAAAGGGATTTTGAAAAATGATGTATATACTTCATTCAGAATTCCTCCGATCGTTGATGTTCGGTCAGAAGATTGATGATGCTGCTGCTAAAACTCAACATACATGGATCATTGGTGGGCGGCAACCCTGTAGGACTCCACATGTCCACATTTGTGTGTAAGTGTCACTCACGCCGGGGCTCTCTAGGACCGTCTACTGTGATCTTAATGGCTCTCTGGTACGTGGCCACCTGAGGAGGGTTGGTGAACACAGTGATCGTCAGAGTGAAACTCTTCCCTGGAGAGAAAAGGAAAGGACAACACGCAGGGGATAGTGAGAGAGAAAGGAAAAAGAAAGGGGGAAAAAAAAGTTAACATTCACGATCAGGATCTTTTTTGAGTCATACACTCATTTCAATTGTTTCACTACATGTCTCCCCCTCCCCTCTGGGTCTGCTGAAGGCATTAAGTCGGATACGTCATGAACCTCCAGACAGGAATAAACTAGACGCCAACACACACTCGCGCACAGAACAGATGATTCCTCCAAATACTTCCAACAGGAGGTCTATGACTATTTTCAGCAAGTTTCACTCACGTTAAGTAGCATTAACAACTCTGATATACACACACACACACACAGCTTGGTTATGTAGTGACAAACATTGCTAGGTGACAAACTACTATTGGCGGCAAGCTTACAGCCAATGTGCTATCAAACCGAAACATGCGTTTGCTATCTCTTACATTCAGGAGTTACTGAAGAGGGAAAAAAGCTCTCCAGGGTTGGTCACTAACTGGAAAAGATGATTTATTCCAGATGCATTTGTGGCATGAACTCCTGCCTCTTGACTTCTGCCTGAAAACACTATCTTTTTTTATGGAACCATTCCACTTGTTTGTGCGACACTACGGAGAAACCGCCTGGAGCGGTGTTTCTATTCAATGTTCATGCAAATTTTGAGGGAACTTTGGAATCGTTGCAAACAAAGAAATGTGAATGTGGGTTATTTCCACCAGTTTAGTCAGAGGTTTGCACCACAAATGATGCAAGGCTGTAATGGTCCAGTACACTATCATAGAAACAAAAATATCTAACCACGTGTTATTGTTCTTGACAAGTATTCATGCACTGTGGGAATACCTGACAAGACGCTGAAAGGGGAAAACAGCTGATTAGTTGTATGACTTCAATGTTCCCTGCTTTTCCATAATGATATTCCATAATTCTTTGTTTTTTTTGACAAAAACGTGACTGTTATATGTTAGGACTGGTTATGCATGATGACAAAAGGAGCATGAAATTAATAAAGCAGCAAGTACCGGTATCTAAAAACGCAATTGAACCTTTTGTGTACTACATGTTTATGGGACAAAAGGACTCATATCTGTGTGTAAGTGTGTGCATGTGTGTGCCAGCCTCAGTTTTGAAATTAGAACTCACTCAACACTATGCCTGCTGCAAACACACATTCCCCCCACACACACACACACCACTGTCGTTGTGTGCCAGGACCGGAGTAAGGTTTCCTTATGCAGACAGTCTGATGCCACACACACACACACACACACACACACACACACACACACACACACACACACACACACACACACACACACACACACAGCAGACGATTGTGGGTAATGCCAGGTGTTACTCTCACTTCTTTTTGTTTTCTCTGAACATTTCTCTTTTACATTGTTGCAGAACTTGTCATGTTTAACTTGCCATAAATTATAGATATCTAATAAAATCCCAATTCAAAGAATAACAATTGAGACCAAAAGACCTGTATAATGACAACTACAGTTTGTTCTGTAGCTGTCATTATACACAGCCTGATTAAATACTGTTTCCACATAATGTGCATTAATATATAACCATTGTACAATGTTATTAAATGGACAATGTAGCTTGCAACTGTGCCATCTATAACTTGCTGAGCCGCATTATTCTCATTTTCCATTATTTTGTCTATTTTATCATGGATATCGCTGGATAATAGTTGTGGGCAGCATATGAAAGCAGGTGACGCTGAATCAGCAGTAATAATCTGCAGGGGTGGAGATGCAATCTTTTCTTCAAGCAATATTACTATTAAACAATTTTTTGAATGCCATCTACAGGCTAGTTTTGGAAGAGATTGTGGTGGAGGTATGGTTAGCGGCATCTATACAACTTACGTACTTAAGGACTTAAACTTACGTTTAAGGAAAGATGTGGTTATGGTTACTATTAAAAAAACGTGCGTTACAAGGACACATCCAGTCATTAGTTTGGTCCCAACAATGCAGTGTAAGTACACATGCTTCTAAGCAAGTAAAAGAGTAAGGTTAATCTTACCATGATGTCAAACAGAGGATGTGATTTCACTCATCCCAATGATACTAACATCTGAACTTATTGTTCGGCGTATGTGTTGCTCTCCACACAGTTTGCATGTTGTGTAAATAGTACAGAGCACACAGAAACCCTGAGAGCTTCTCTGTGTGGCTCGTTTACAGAGACAGTTTACAGTAAGAGATCTTGGCTGATAGAACGAGAGACAGGAGGCAGAGAACAGCTGAGGTCGTAGTGTGTGTTGTGTCTATCAGGCAGCCACTGGCATCACACACACGCCCACAAACACGCACACGCACACACATGTATATCGCAAAGGCGTGTGTGAGTCATGAACACACGCCAGAGTGTTTTCTCTGTAACTTTCTCTTTATACATCCCTATGTCTCTTTCATTTGTGAGGTGTGTGTCTGCGTGTGTGCGTATGTGTGTGCGCGCCATGTCAGCGCCTGTTGAGTTCAAGCTTCCCAGTCTTCTCACAACCAGCCAATCAGAGAGTGAACGTCTTATTCAACAAAGCAACGTGTGTGAGTGTAAGCGTGTTCCCGGATTAAAAAGGTGCTAAGTGTATGTGTGTGTACGTGTGTGTGTGTGTGTTTCCGGGATAACAAGTTGGCGAGTGTCTGTGTGAGTCTGTGAGGGGGTTTGTCTATTCACAGAGTCAGATATTGTGAAAGAGAAAAGTGATGGTCCTGTTTAAAAGGGGAACAAAAAGAGACAGAAACCTGGTCACGCACACAAGCACTGAAGAATATTAGTGGTACGCTACTTTGGACGAAAGCTCGTAAACGTAGATCCACAAGATACTGGTGGACGGAGTCAAGAGGACATTAAGTGGACTGTTGTTTTGGTCCAACATGGGAAAAGGAGTCCCTGGTCCCGAGCATAGAGATGCTCAATACTGAATCACCTGACCAGGTGAGCAGATCCACCAGTACTAAGCAACACATTGTCATCTTTAGTTCTTTTTACTCCAAAAACCAGCAACGCATGGCAATGTCTGCTCCGGTACATGAATACAGTCTTAACAGCAGTCAACTTAGGTTTAGGAAAAGATCACGGTTTGGGTTAAACAAGTTAAATAACAAATAAACGTCAACTTCTCGTTGCGCATAAGGAACAAACAGAAACAAAAGATTGCTGTTACATTCACTAAAACCAGTATGCAAACTGTAGTAAAAAAAGTGTATGTTGAAATATAGGATTTATTGTTAATAAGTAGGGACTCCTACATCCAGGGTACTCCGACCACCCTCAGGAGGACCTTCAGAGATGTGGGGGCCGGGCAGGATCCAGCGGGAGTTGGTTTAAAAAGAGGATTCATTTAAGTCATTTCTTAGTAGCTTCAGTGAGCAGCTACTAATGTGTAAATCCGCACAGCAGCTCTATATTGACGCACGAGGACCGTATGAAGTGTGTCGGTGTCGCCATGTGTTGGAACTAAGTGCTTCTACCAAACAGGTAACACTGACTGATGATGAATGAACTCTGACTCCACACCCCCCGCACACACACACACACACACACACACACACACACACACACACACACACACACACACACAGAAACCGCCAGTCAAACCACTAAACCATACATTGTGGTTGGCAACTAAACTGACCACTTCCCACTCCGACAGTTAATGACATTTTGGAGGTTTTAGATGGAGAAGCTGTTCTACAGGTGCGGTTATCAACGTTACTCCAGAAAATCTGTCTGCATTGCACGTTTCTCCAAACCGCTGGATTTGTTGCATGTCAACGTTTTAAAATGAAACTTTGGTTAAGGTTGGAAAAAGGTCACGGCTTATGTTTTAATAAGAACAAAGTAACTTGGGAACGTAACCCGACTACTACGTAACATGGTGAGACGAAGCACGTAACAGAACTAACAAGAACCATGTAACAGTCACTGTCTCTTAAAAGATGTGCTGGTAAGTGTCCCAACACAGGACCCTTCACCAAATATCATTTCACACCTGTCTTACCTCGAGTTGGAGACACTGTCAGGAAGCCAAATGCTAACACACACATCTTCTATTCGTCCCCTTTTGTCATCAAATACCAAAGCAGCAACATGCTGTGGGCCCTAATGACAAGTATAGTCTGCATCAAAGCGAGATGTCGCGACTTCCTGTGTGCCATGGAGCTCCAATAAAAACACATCAACGAGTTACTTTCTTATCATTTTTGTCATAATTCTTCTGGGATGCTGTGGATATCTAATCTAATCTAACAAACCGATCTTTGTTTGCTAAGACAAAATGTGTCTTTGCTTTTGTGTGATTTCTCTTTAAAATATAACTCAAATGTAATTTAGTGCAACAACATTGCTTGCTTAGGAATGATGGACAGACGCTATTGTCCTGCAGCCAAAAATACTCACTAGAGCACCTAACGTGGATCAATCTACAGCAGAAATACATATACAGCACCAGTCAAAGGTTTGGACACATTTTGTCATTCAATTTAATGACAATGTGTGTCTTTTGACTGGTACTGTATATATAGGTAATAATTAGACCGAATGAGGTTGTGGAACCTCGTCATTGGCCGTAGTGATCCAGCAGCTTTGTTTTGTATGTTAATAAAATACTCTTCAGATGGAGTAATGCTGGCAGAATGGACCTCATTGTATTCTGTGCAGTTCAATTTGCATAAAAACAAATTTTTACACATCAACTTTATTCATTTGAATTCTACTGCACATTAATTTGTAGTACGCTGTTTTTTTCAACGGTAGAATCAGTCAAATATTGACAGTTATTTTGACGTTTCCATTGAGCTGGGGATTACTTTTATGCGAGTGTTCTGCCAGCGTGTGTACACAGGACGCCTGTTTTAAATAGATTAGTCGGGACATTTGCCTGTGACTGATTTAGTGTAACTGTGGTCTAGTGTGTCCGTTAAAAAGAGGGAGGAGGGGGGGCAGAGCGAGTTGGACACTGAATGGAGTGATACGGGGAAGTTGTGTGAATACTGTTTATATTCATATGAACTTCCCCTAATTTATCCGCTGCGTTGTGTGGTTGTTCACGACACACATATTAAACCCGAGCCAGAGGGAGGCCGACACTGCTCCCACTCATATTTGGGCCGATGGCACTTTGGATCATATGGTTGTGATCTTTGAAATTAGACCAGGGGAAAGATTCTTATGTCAGACTACAGCGAAGATCAGCATTCATATGCTCTTCCTCTTTGTGTTGGTGTGTCTTCATGCATGTGTGCAGTCACGTCAAACAAGGTATTGTCAGTCAACTAAAAGTTATTTTTCTCAATGTTTAACGTCCAGCAACATGTCAGAGAGCCAAACGGCTCGACTGGCTTCAGAAAAACGTTGTAGTTCAAATAAGTTTGTCACATAACTTAAGCAGCTAAATACGGAACTTATGAAACAAAAGCAAGTTGTACATGTAAACGTGTCTGACCTGGCGACCTCTACTTCCTCTCCATGTGTGCTGTGTTGCTCTTTAGACTGCTCCGTACTTATACTGCAACCGCATAAGTATGGGGACTGAATGAGGTGTGTGTGTGTGTGTGTGTGTGTGTGTGTGTGCACATACCTCTTCCGCTGCGGCCCACAAAGCGCAGGTCGTTGAACCGGGCCACTTGGTTCTTGATGGCGGCTGTGGCGTTGCGAAGCTCCGCCGAGTAGTTCTCATCGTTCCCGGCCATCACCGTCACCAGGGTGCCGTCGGGGGTGTCGCCCAGGGCAACCACCTAGGGGAAGAAGGAGGAAGGAAGGGGAGACCGTGTCAGTCAGGCTCACATGTCGTACATTTGGTTGGTCATACAAGTTTTTTCTGCCCATGGTTGTTGGAGATTTCCAAATAATAATAATGAGTTACTTAGTAACTTATACATTTGTGCATAGGTGTCCGTCAAATGGTTCGAGGTTGGTATAACAAAGACAGATAGTGATTGATTTGGTCACTTTGGTTGTTTTTTTATGATGAAGATGTTTGTCTTATACTCCTAGAGCCTGCTGCATCCAAAGTAAACAAAGGCGCTGCTGTTATAATTTTGAATAAACACGACGAGAAACACAACAGCTTCAAAGCTCTTTGTCTGCTCAAATTTCATTTAAAAGATGCAAATGATGAAATAAAAAAATGAAATCATTTTCCTAAAACAAATGTGAAATTGAAATATGAAACACTCAGTGTGCTGGGGAGCAGGTTCACCACAGGAGGTGATTTCCATACCTTCGCTAATCACACCCAGCCCAGCCTGGGCTCACCTCTCAGTTCAAGCCACGACTTCTATTGTTCACATACGTCGCCTTGAGTGTGACTTGAAAAGACTAACATGCCGATAATCGGCACGTGATCGGAAAAAGTTCTTCTGCGTAGTGAAGCAGCATCGTGGCCGGCTTGTAGTTAACGCTCAAGAAGCGGGAAAGGAGGAGGGATGACACACACACACACACACACCCATACAGACACACACACACACACACACACACACACACGATCACGGGAAGACAAGAGTGGGACTGGCAGAGACGGAGTATGAAAACAGTCCAGCAGAGAGAGAAAAACATCTCGAGCCTCAAGCCAATGTGTGTTCTTTAAACACATGCTTGCATGTACCAAGTTTATAATTATTTATAATTCAATATTTTCATTATATCTTTGATGTAGTTTAGTTTCAGCCCCAGCTGGTTTAGCTGACCTGAGATCAGCAGCACGGTTCAGGATTACAGGATACTGCTTGTTATTCAGGTTTCCAACATTTCACCGCTTCCTCTGGTTTTAGTTGATGATAATCCTGTTTACACACATAGTACCTCTGCGTGTGTATATATATATATACATATACATTTGCTCCTGATCATATTTAAGTGGTCATGAAATGTGTAATTTTGCGTTTGTCTTCATGTATATGAGAGAGTGCGTGCATCATAATAGTCCTCCATTATCAGTAAAAGGCAGTGACATCCGCCCGTGACACTAATAATGAGGCATAATGCACCAAACTCACACTCTCTCTCACACACACACACACACACACACACACACACACACACACATGTGCAAATACTAATGCATAATGCTCAATAAATCAATCTACTGTGCGTTCTGCGGCTAAAAGCTGCTTTTCCACAAATGCATTTTGTCTCAAAGTGCAGGGAAGCCGACCTCATCCCCGGATGTTGATACATACGGGAACGCATGAAGAAAATCATACCGTGAAAACACACAAGATGGATGAATGCTAATAAACTGCTTTAAAGCCCCTAAATGATTATATTTATGAACAGAGGTTCTTGCATAACATTAATTAGGAATATATTATAATAGTTTATCATACAAGAGATGGCTTAAAAGGAATTGGTCGTAAGTGTAAATTAAAATAAACAATTTAAACACCCACTGAACTAACTTTTCAGAGGGCCGGAGATGCGTCTTATGGTAAGAAGAATATTTAGAACCTGAATTATGATGCTGAAACATTCTTGCTCTCACTCTGTTAAGTGAATGAAAGGATCGATACGTTTACCCCCCTTTACTCCAGATGCTGTGAAACGCCTCCATTAGCTGAGATCGGTGCTGAAATAATGAGTCTATGACATAAATGAAACTAGAGGCATATCCATTTAGAGAATTGTGTGAGTAATAAGATTTTCTTTAGATTTGAATTATTATTACTTGTCTGATTGAGTAAAGTACATTAATGCAAAGATCTCAGACTATATACATATACATAATTCTCCCGGTTGAAATACTTATCTGTGTTATCAAATAATATTTTGATAATCACTATTATAATTAAATATAATCACTTTCATAATTAATCATGGCTTTAAGTCACTACGTGAAAAATATAATTAAATCTGCAAAAACGACACGCAATACGTGTAAAATAAATATATAGATGAATGACCTTGTGTAAGTGTAAAGCATGTTATTATTATTATCTGTGAGTAACGATAACTAATAATGAAGATATAGCGGTGGGTTAAATGTAGGCGTACGAAGGGAGACACTCACCTTGAAGGCAATGGGCAGCGTCTTGTTGCACCTCCAGTGCGTGGGCAGCACCGAGCACAGGAAGTTGGGACTGTCCGTCTTCATCAGCTCGCTCGGATGGTCTGAGATCACCTGGAGAAACTTCCCGTTTACTCAACGGAACACTTAGATTGGGGGGGGGTCAACGTGTTGACTTGCATGCAACCGTACCTCCACCATGCCGCGGTCAGCCATGCGCAGTTTGCCAACCAGAGAAGCCCCTCCGGCCTCCTGAGTGCCAAGAGGCAGGGCCTCGGCCATCTTCCCCCCCGAGGCCAAGGTGGTGGAGGGGGGGGTGTAGCGCCGGCCCGGGGCCGGGTCTGTGAGAGAACGCATGCGGGGGGTTAGTCGAGTTAAGAGCTCATCTGCTCTGAAGTTCTGCCGGTGTGTCCATGAATGCGGATTGATACAAGAGAGGGGGAACCTCACAGCTGGTCCTAACCCTACGCACAAAGGCTCCAAATGGGGACATGGTCCCAGTCTGTAGTGAGTGATTCTGAGTTTCTGGGTCTCTGGGTCTGTTAGTTGGACAACACAACACATTAGAAGACCTCCAATTAGGCTCCTTAAGGGATCCTCTGCCAATGTTTTCTATTCAACAGAAAAAAAATGATTCCCAATCACATGAATTACGGCAATGTTGATGAAAGAAAGAGGACCCGGGATAAGCAGGCGAGCACGCAGATGAGAGTAAAAGTTATGCATGTAGAGTATGTGTATGTATGTGTCACTAAGTGAGGACAGCAGCAGCATCAGAGAGAAGAGGAACGCCATCCACAAAGGAGGAGTTGGTTCATGTAAACCCATGTAGAAATGCTCAGAGGAACTGGGGTGAACTGTGTGTCCGTCCCTCTGTCTGGGGCTCGGCTACTTTGTCACTCAGCCAACCCACAAGCGAAGCCACATGCTGGTGGTTTTCCAGTGTTATAGAAACACTGCATTGCTGCTCAGACTCACGCGGCAGGTTTCAAAACAGGAGTCCCGGGTAAATGCAGGAAGACCTCCTACTCACCTCAGTCAATAGCCATAGTTTATAACTACAGTCTGCACCAGAGGAGATCTGGCCTAGCAGCAGCTGGTGTGGGATCACATGTGCGTTACGTTGGATCAATGTTCTTTATGTAAGATAAATGTTCCTCATGTTAGGGAAATGTTCTTTAAATAATTGTCCATCTTCCCATTTTGTGAAATTAATGTTCAAATTATTAAATAAATGTTCTTTGTTACTTTTTTTTCCTCCAAAATATTAAATGAAAAAAATAAAACAAAAAAGTAAACGAGCAGTTAACTAATAAAACTAACAAAATTGAGTTAATTATCAAAATCTGTAATATTTTAAAAACAGTTTTCTCTCATTCGAAACAATCTCCCCATACGTCCAAATACATCTTAAGAGATGGGAATAATGAATGAATTAATAATCTTATTAAATTTGACAAATATGACTAATGCAGTATTCAGGTAACTTTTATAGTTCAAATGATATTTAACTTTCGAAAATATCTCTGTTAATATAATGTACTATAGAAAACGTCACACTTTTCTCCAAGTACTTTATAGTGGATATTAGTTGATAGTAGTACTATAACCGAAAGCCCCAACGGCACACAAAGCCAATTTGACCACGAGCAGACGGGTCATAAAGGGGGAGAAGGTACAGAAATACATGTATGTGTATATACGTGTCTCTGTGAAGACACTGGCATAATCACGCGTCAGAGAAACGGCTCGTACCGTATTTTGCGTCCCACAGAAACACCATCTGTGCGCCACAGTGCGTCCGCAGACACGCGGCCGTCCCGGTGTTCGCCGTAAATCTCCCGCTGGGTCTCAGGGACAGCGCGAGCCGCGGGTTGTTTCTTCTGTGTACGGGTCGAGGGTTCTTCTTGTGGACCACCCGTGAACCGGAGAGGAGCAAACGGCCCGGTCCGCGGCGCTTTATCGCTTTCGGAACGTTCGGTTCGTCCCGAGCGCGGCTCCGACCCCCGGGAGCAGAGCAGAGGAGACGAAAGGTCCCGCGGACCTGGGATGATGCCGGGCAGCCTTCAGTGCGCCTCGTGCCTTCTGAAGCTACCGCGCATGTTTGGCCCCGCAATGGAAGACAAGTGGAAGAACACGGAGGGAACGTGCAACCACAGCTGAACTAGTCTGAACTCTCAATTTCACTTCCTCCTGATTTCTAACAGAACACTTTGGTACCGTTAGAAGCCTCTCTCTCTCTCTCTCTCACGCTCTCTCTTTCTCGCTCTCTCTCGCTCTCTCTCGCTCTCTCTCTCTCTCGCGCTCTCTCGCGTGCCCGGCTATGTCTCTCTCCCTTCGCGCAACATGAATTGACATCCCGGCTGTCGGCACTGAGCTCCTTACCGGCAGACCTTTGCGTCCCAGCTCTCAGCCAATGAAGAGGCTCACCGCCGGCTGCCCTGGAAAGGGATCGACCAATCGGCGTTGTGTCCGTCCGACGGGAGGCGGGGTTTAAGGGGAGCGGCACTTCCTCCTGCAGAGACTTCATCTCTGACTGACAACTCTTTCCCCCCAATTAAATTAAAATAACACGTCACGGTGAGTAAAAGGAGAAGAACTATACCGACGCTCCCTAGATTAATATTCACACTGAGATGTTAAGCAGAGGAGCAAATTTCTGTCCTCAACGAGAACCAACCGGCTGTCGGTACCGCAGACCGACGATAGGGGGCAGTCTGTGCTCTGGATCACATCGTGGATTCACCCATCATGTTGTTGGTGACCAACAGTCACAGTTATAGACGGACAGACAGAAGTTTGTATGTATTCTTTCCAATGGGCTTAAGATACTGTTTACATGTTTGTTTACATCGTGGTAAGATCAGGTAACATATTGAATATTATTATTCCAAACCACGCTATGAAAAGGAAAGACATCTATGACTTAAATGTATTTTATTTTAAAACTGTGTAGACACACACCAAATAAAATCCTTCGAAAATTCAATTAAAATAAATACTATAAATACTGTGAGGGTTAAATAATATTGAAGGATCGTTTCTGTCATTTGATGATACAGATAAACTATTAATACCAAATAGTTAAAGTGAATCAGAAGATGCTAACTGAAAATAAAATATCTTCTAAAATATGTTCAGCCATGTTCTATTTTTTTTGGTTACTTTTCTGAAATCCTATAGAAAAACCTAAATTATTGTTTTAATAAAGGAAGAAGACAACATTACTACTAATAAAAATACACTGAGCTTTACGGCTTCATCCATTGGTCCCTCTGGTGATATGAAAAGCTTTAGAAGCAGGGAAAGGCCATAATGGTGGTTAACTTCAGAAGCAACATGACGCTACAACTATGATTAAGTGAAAAATGATATACCACTGAATTTGAAAGCACTGTTATATAATATATCTAAAATTGTGGTTTAAATTCCTCTCTGAATTTTCCAGTCGGCCATTTCATTGTAAAATAAATCAGAATGAATTAGATTTGAAAGAATCAGAAATTACATATTAATTCATTTAGTCTGAATACATTGCGTTGATGCGGGTCTTTTTCTTCCCTATAGTTTGGATGTTAAGGTTAAACATCAATTTAGCATCATTTTAGTCCGATTTCCCCCTTATTTCAACTTTATATCAGCTGATATAGTTTAGTCATTAGCATTTTAGGTCATTAGCATTTTAGGAATTCTGGACACCTACATTTTCTCTTTGAATTGGCAAACCTTAGAAATAAATGTAGTCTAAATTAAAACATATAAACAGTCAATTTAGTGAGACCCATGACTGCATGAATTCACGTTTTCAAATTCCCATTGGGATTTTAGGAATTCTGGACACTTACATTTTCTCTTTGAATTGGCAAACCTTAAAAACAAATGTAGTTTGTTTTCAAAGTGCTTACAAATATTATAAAAAGTACTACTATTGCAATCCCATTAGTCAAAGCTTAACAGGGTACATTGTTGTGAGAGGTGTTTCATAAAAATACAGTACTTTGGTACTTTGGTTTCCACTTCACAAAACCATAACACTTTTTAACCCTTTTCTGGCTGAGGGTCTACCTGTGGCCCCCGCCTGTTTCATAAGGCCTTTTGGGAGCCTTACGATTGGATCCGAGTTAATTCAACACGCTGTCGGATGAGCTTTAGCGAGACGCCAGTCTACCCCTGCATGCATGCCCCTGTAGCCAAAGGGGATGATAAAAAATGTAAACGCCTGCTCTCTCGTCCCGGACTCAGATGGACGTGACGTGATTTGCCCTTGGAAATATCTATCTTTCCCTTCCTCGTCCAGTATTTGTCTTTTTTTGGACTTGTTGTCTCGAGATCAGTTATGGACAAAGTCGAGCGCCTCGACCTCGCTGGCAGAGAATTCTCCGATGGTCAGAGATTGTGAAATTTGATAGAAATCTGGATAGAAGAGGAGCAATGGAGGCATGCCAATACGCTTGCGTTGAAGCTGCAGCTAAAGGACTGTCAACCTGCAGCTTCATCAAAAAGTGTCATCAAATCCAACAATGGACATTTATTCCTCATAGCACGCTTATAAATAATTCATCATTGGAGGATGAAACTATATATCAGTGAGGCCTTAAGCCAAGTGTACAAAAGGAGTTTAGACGCCAGATTCATATAGTTATGCATCATATGATCCACATATTCATGCGTATCATACATCTATCTGTGTCCCGATAAGCTGCGCTTTGCCACAAAATGTCTGAAAGTTTAATATTCAGATGAAAATGTGTCATGAATTGTTGACATGAATTCACATGTAAAAACATGAATTCCTCTGTAAAAAATGTGTTAAATAAAAAAATATGTTCCATATAGATGTAAAGTCCTTTACCAGGTTACATGTTAAAAGTACTTCACAACAGACAACATGAGGTTAAAATATATTGTGTGTTGGGTTAAATAATCACAGTGAGATGTGAACGTTTAAAGGCACCAATAAAACCGAGGCGGATAAGGAAAGAGGTAGAGGAGTAGGATTTCACCCAGCCAGCGCTTCCCAGCGACCGTTTGGCAACGTGAACCGCTTCTTGTCCTCTGATCCATAATCAATACCCAGTCACAATTGCCTATCAAAGTTATTGAAGGTGGCACTGCTTCATAGCTTCGGCTGCAGTATATATACAATTTTATTATTTAGAACTGATGATCCACAGGGGCTTTTCAAGTATTATTCAGTATTTAGTATTATGGATACTTTTAACAAAGGATATTGAACTTGGAACTAACGAAAGACATAAAGATATAGCTTTTTTCAGCATCATCCCAGCAAATATTGCTACCAGCCTTCAAAAGCGCAAACATTTCCAATCTTTGTTTCCAAACGCAAATCTAGAATCTAGTGAAAGTCGTTATTATTTCCTGTGTGAAACGCTCAAATAATCACCAATCAATCAAATCCAAAATATCAGAGTATACAGGAGAACCCATCCAGAACTAGTGTCCCTCAATTATAAATAATGATATCTAAAGTCTGTATTGTTAAAGTGTTTACAATATCAGCAGAAATATCCCGTGAGGAAAAGTAGTATCCCAATTTCTACAGTATGAAAAGCATCTCGAAGAATGAAGTAGCCACAAAGATGTTCGTGGATCATCTGAAAGTAACGTTTCTACACCCCAGATGATTAATATTGAGTTAAAAATAATAAACCGGACATGATGGGGACGGTGTGAAGGAAGAGAAATCTTTACCAAAAAGTCCGCTGCCTGTCCGGCCCTTCCTCATCAGGTACATGGCCCAGGACAGGGGCCCGGAGCCGGAGAACGTCCCAGGGTTCATGCTTCAGTCCTGCGGGCGGAAGCAGCAACAGCTGGGGGCCAAGATTCCAACACCCAGCGGGAAGGGAGCAGAGATACAGAGAAGCGTAAAAAACGGCTAAGAGGGAAAACAGCAGGAGGGGAAAATGGGAAATAGAAAAAGGAGAGGAAGAACAAATAAATAGGGTGTTTTTTAAACTTTTGGTTTTCCAGGGTTCCAAAGTTGAAAGTCAACAGAAAACACTTAGGAAAGAATCAGAAAAGTAATTTGACAAAGAAGAGCTCCAGCCTGTGCTCACCTTCGCATTGTGCTTTTATACCCCTCATTCACCCCCCCCCCCCTCCCCCTCCTAACCCTACATATTAGTGGAAACCAGAAAAGAGTGAGGGAGCAAGAGGCGAGGAGCCAGTCAAGCGTAATTCATTCCCTCCTTCTTTAAAGCGTAGCCACGGGGGACACGACTCCACTTTGCCCCCAGGCTCTTCAAAGCTGCTAATTTCATTTAGCTACTCAAATGATTTTTTTCTCCCGTTTTCTCCCTCCCTCTCGGCCTCCCCTTCTTCTCTCTATCTGGAAGTTTTGGTAGAAATTGAGGTCACACACTTGAGTGACATTAGCAGGTTTGATTCAGCACCGAAGCTGCCGTTTGGATGTGTGTTCATGGATGTGATGGATAAGGATGCAGCTAGTATTATAAATGACAAGCTGGCCTGTTATCACTGTTATTATTGTTATCATTGACCCCTGCTGAGAACTCAGCCCCCGTGTCCCACTGAGGTCTAACAACAATAGAGATTGGTTGCTTTACCCTTCTAAGGAGTTAGCTGGAAGAGCTGAAAACCAACAGACAGTCCAATCTTAAACTACAACGTGCGTTACATAACTAACTAAGCTGGGAACCAACGGTTAACTAAGGCCAATGGTGTTACCTGAGCAAGGAAGGAGGAAAGGAGAAACCAAGGAGAAGGGTTCCCGTCTTTCACTACAAGCTGACTGCTAACATACCTTTTTCTACAGCAGGCACTGTCAGAGAGAGACGCTGAGACACCAGGGACCCGGATGTCTCACTATCCTGATATTAGATTAAACCTGATTTTACCAACAGAAATATGAAACGTCGAGGATGAAATACCTGTGGATCATTGCTGCATGGAGGATCCAAGCCAAACCTTTTGCAAAGTCAGCAGGAAATAAGCCCTACATGTATTCAGACTGGTCCCCCCAAACCCTAATCTGACTCGTCTTCATCTGATATACCGCTTCCATAGGAGTTTATTAAGAACAAGGTTTTCTCCCTCAGAGATATTGTTAGCACAACAGCTGAGATGTAAAACTAAAGTCGAATTGTGTTTCCATTGCTCTCTGCTGGTTCAAGATGCTTTACTAAACCTCAAGGTGACCACTGCACAGTGTGCACACACACACACACACACACACACATACTGGTGGACAGTGAGCTCCCCGTAGGGACTCTCCTGGAGGTCTTCTGCCCAGTGACATCACCACAGTGCTCTGTGTGTGTGTGTGTGTTTGTCTCAGAGTGTGTGTGTGTGCACGTGTGAGCGACAGCCATGTAACCCTCAATGGCAACCTCAGACCCCCAGTGTGTGCCACTGGCTGGCATTGAGCCGCGTGGTCGTCTGGTGGAGCCCAGAGCCACAGAGCTCAGCTGGCCCCGTATGTGGTCCCGCTCTGGTGGGCCGACACGTCTCGCAGTGCGGCGGGAGCTTTTTAATGACCATCCTTTAGATGAATAAGGACTTTAGGTGTTTATTGGACTTCAGGGACTTCCATGACGAAGATGACCCCAGAGTATTACTACTATATCAGGCCTATATGTACATATATCCATGCAGCCTTTTTTTTATTGCTAACATGTTTTGGAGTATGAATACGGAATAAGAGCCCTCATATTAAGCTCACCTGGGACGGGCTTCAGTGTTTGTAGTAACCTTGTTAAACTTTATGTACAAGTGTGTCACATCATTTGGCACAAAAATGGCTTTTGCAAATGTAATGATCGGTGTATGTGACCCGGCTTGTCCTGTTTGTAAATAATGTAAAACAATGTGCTATGCTTGATACCGGTGCAGTTTATTGTGAGCACAGGCTACAGAGTCTGGACACAGACGGCGATCGGAGTCCCTATTTATAATAATATTAATAGTCAAAGGTTATACTTCATTTCCGGAGTTTAATTGGTACAGCCCATCACTCTTAAGGGGGGAGAGAAAAAGGGGGTGAAAAAAAATGCCCCCCCCCCCCCCCCCCCTCTCTGCCAGCGGCTGTCTGTCCCTGTCGTCCCTGAGCTGAGGCCACCCTGAGGCCAGTGACAGTGGCACGGTACGGATCAATAGCACACACACCCGCACACAACGCTGCCACCCTGAGCGAGGGGATCGATGGAGGGATGGGGTGAGTCTGGGGAAAAGAGGTCCTCCTCTGTGCTAATCTCCGCTTTATCATCAGCATCTTTCTTTCACACTTTTTATGAACATATATCCTTAAGATTATTAATTTCAATAAAAGTCAGTTGAGGTGCTGTCTGTTCCCTAAATGAGGTAACACAGGGGGAATGACGGGATTATTGCAGTGTTCACAGCATTATGAACTGAGTGTCTGTGATGATATTCTTTTTATGATATTATGATATTTAACTTTTTTATTGTGAGGTGCAGTGTGATGGATGGAGTCTGATCTTATAACCTGCCGGTTGTGACTCCATGCGTGCTGTGGGTCAGCACCAAAGAAACCCTGCACAGACCACTTGGATCCTTCTGGGAGGAGGACCCGGGAATTCAGATAATAAAATTATAAAAGTATAAATGTATTCAAATCACATCACTACAGCCCTAAAATGAATGGCCTTTGAAGGGGGATTCACACATTTTTACTAACTAATTTTTACTAATGAATTGTACGGATGTCAGGGCAACAGGAAAGTTATGGAATTCATCAGGTAATAGAATACTGTAATGGTAAAGACAAATTACGCAATTTTGAAAAAAATCAATTTACCTCAATTAACCTGTAACAATTTACATTATTCCTTAGATTAATCCCAGTATTAACACATTTCAAGGAATTTGCAATGAAAGGGTTGATTTGACTAATATCTGTATCATCTGGCTCATTGTGTCAACGGTTGTGGTCTCTCATATTTAAGGGTTCCCCTAATTTACTCAAATTAACTTTCATTAATTGTGGTTTTCAATGTGATATCAACATTTTTATAGTTTCATGATTTTTAAGAGCTTTTTATGATGGTAATCATAATTTATAACAAAAGACTTGTAGTCAAATGTGGCATATAGTCAATGTAATTTAATATCAACGAAAGTGTAAAGGGTTTCCTTGTTCTTATTTTGAATTACACACACACACACACACAGACACAGACACACACACACACACACACACACACACACACACACACACACAGACACACACACACACACACACCATAGAAGCAAACATTGATGAGCCAGTTCAGACACTTCAGAGCTCAGTAGATTTGTATCGGAGCACTCTCATCAGTTGATCAATGACGGAGAAGTTAGCAATTGTCTCTAGTTAACAGAGCAACCGATTGTACCACACACACACACACACACACACACACACACACACATACACACACACACACACACACACACACACACACACATACTTCGTCTATAATTCATGGGGTGTATTGCGGGGATGCAGTTAGCTGCCGCTTAAAAGTAATTAATTGATTTTCTGACATATCAGTTAGCAGCAGCACCAAATGACACACACTCACACATACACACGCACACACACACACAAACACACACACACACACACACACACACACACACACACCTACACACACAGAATAGAATGTAGACTTGCGCAACAACGTGGGCTCGCACGCTGACGAAACACACTAATATTCATGCTGTCCCACATGCATACGAACACACACACTGAACACTGTTGTATACAACACACACACACACACACATACACAACACAGGTCTTCTAAATAAAGTGTTTATTGTTAATATTGTACATACGTAAAATGCTTCATTTGCAAAGACAAAACATCAGTTTGTGTCAGTATTTATGTCATTATACATTGATTTGTGTGTTTTTACCACACTCTTCCCTGCATGGTGCCACTCAGCCTGCTTGATTACTTTATGGCACAGAGGGCTGTTGCTTTATGGCATTTACCGTGAAGGGGGGGGAGCCGTAAAGCTTTCAGTCCTTCTAGCGGCAGATGGAGGAAGTAGTGAAAGGGTGATTGTCACTAAAGGTCAGCAGAGGTCACCATGGGTAACGGATCATCACTTTTACATTAAGGAGACATCCAATGTCCTGAAGAAGAACTGTGAGGATAAAGGAACATCATGGATTCAAAATAAGTTTCTCATTCTGTTGATCTCTCAATTTGTCTGTCCACACACACACACACACACACACACACACACACACACACACACACACACACACACACACACACACACACACACACACACACACACACACATAAACAGATCAACCTCCCGTCTGTCAAATTAGCCGTGAAGCCAACATACCATTTAATTTTAACATCGATAAACATTCAAGTAAAAGTTGGTCTCATTGATCCTTGCTCCGTAAACAGGAAGTAGCCGTGTCTAATATTTGACCAATAGGTAGAGATCCACCCTGCTAACCAGGACTGAAGCCCTACAGCTAAACATTTGCTCCACAAGCAGTGAAAAGCACCCTGATACACTCAGATGTTTGTTCAAAGCTACATATTAAAGGTACATTCAGAGCATTAATATATCACCAAACATCCTCTATGTGTAGATATGGAGAAGTAATGGTTTCCTGAGCAGAGAGAAGTCTTGTGTGCCGTTAGCAGAGCTTCTCCTGTGTTCACGCTTGCCTTTAGATTGTGCATGTTAGTGCACTTGGGTGTGCCACTTCTCACTCTGAATCTGCAGTACTACTGAGGTGTAACATCCTGTCAGTGTAAATTCAAACACTGACAAGAAACCAGACAGCAGTGAGCAGGCGTGTCCATGTTTTTCAGCTAGGAAGACATTTCGCGACACAGGTCAGCAGGAGTCCCACGCCTGTCCTCTGATTGGCTGCAGGTTCTCTTTAAAAACTTAAACTTCACCAGAGAAAGCATCTACAACTTTTAGTCTGGCTGCACGGAGCTTGAGAGGCGGTTGCATGGCACCTGTTTACAGCATTAGTTCTTGTGTGTGTGTGTGCTGAATTATTCAACCGGTCTCTGTGATGAGAGGAGATGGGCTTATTCCTGCTAAACTAAAAATTGATTTTCTGACACAAGAAATGACAGAGAGAAAGAGACAGAAAGAGAAGGAGAGAGAGATGGAGACAGGCAGAGAGTGAGAGAGAGAGAGAGCACCTATGTAACCATGCACACAGTCAAAGCTATTTAATGTTAGTTCTTCCAACGTAGAAACGTAGAAATGAAAATAGACAAAAGTGAGCAGTGTGTTGAGAGAGAGAGAGAGAGGCAAGATGAGGCAGAGAGACAGGATGACGGATAAAGAGAGGACGACAGAAGAGCCTCAGGCTGTGTTTAGTGCAGTTTGAATGGCTAAGCAGGTGCATTAGAGCAGAAACATTTAACTCTCTCTCACACACACACACGCACACACACACACACACACACACACACACACACACACACACACAGACGGAGACACACACACAGACACTGTTAGCTGGACAGTGAACACTGACGTCAGAACTGATCACAAACATGTACTGTGTGGACGTCCAGTTCTGTCCATCCCGTGTGCTAAGTAGACAGAGGTAGATGAAGTGACATCTCCCATCTGGCTTTTACATAAAAAAAGGTTGTGGACTGATAAAAGGAAAATAAACGTGTCTTTGAATGGTCCCAGGACCAGTAAATAGGACATAAAATATAATACATACGGTTACTTCAGTTTGCAGTGATCATGAGAAGCCAACAGAAGCAAGCCTGAGAGGAAGATGGGCTCACCTAAATGTAGATACCAGGAGGCAACATCGGGTTCTGAAGAGTCAACGCTGTATGTGTTAAAGCTGCATCCTTTCTCGTTTTCACCAGGGCAACTCCTCTGATCATAAGTCCATGAGAAAATGACTCTACTTCTCAAAATTCAACGACCAAATTCAACGGCCAAGCTAGCAGCTCTTTGAGGCACAGTGGCGCTGTGAGCTAAATGCTTACATCGCGGTTCTCAGCATTGGATGCTGTTTTAACAATTATGGTGCAAGTAGCCTTACCTTTAAAGAACACAGCTTAACCACCACCTTCAAATTCATTCCAACCCCTCCCAAATTTCAAAATGACCCCCACGTCCTCCCTTCTTCTTTTGTCCTCCTGTCTAAACCCAAACACTTTAGATGTTTTAAGGGCCACCAAGAATGATTGTTGCAACGCCTCATTGTGTCCCAGATGACATCATATATTTTTTGTGTTTGGACTTTGGAAGTGAACCAAACAGCTGGATTTCTATGGAAAAGAAGACCTTCTGTTGCAACGCCCCAAGAGCAGGAGGATCAACAGTTGAATTGAGATGCATTGTGTCGGGTAGTCCATGCTGATCTGATCTACTCACTCATTAGGGCGACTGTGGGTGAGTGGGGAGCACGGTCGTCCTCCAATCAGAAGGTTGTCGGGTCGATCCCAGGCTCTGCTAACCTGTATGTCGATGTGTCCTTGGGCACGACACTTAACCCAACATTGCTCCTGTAGCTGCGACTACAGTGTGTGAATGGTAGTTACTGATGGCAGGTGTCACAGTGTATGGTTCTCCTGTCATCAGTGTATGAATGTGTATGAATGGGTGTGAATGGGTGAATGATGTCATGTAGTGTTAAAGCGCTTTGAGTGGTCAGAAGACTAGAAAAGCGCTATACAAGTACAGTCCATTTACCATTTCAACACCTGGCCAGTCACTGCGTGGCTGTGGGGATTTTATTTGGAAAGGTTATTGAAGGCAACCCTCTCCTGACCCTGACCCTGATGAAATGAGTGACCTTCTTGAGCATAGTGTTATGTTCGCAGTATGTGTGTACGTACACAGGGCAGCAGTGGGGAGGGATGAGAGGACTGAGGAGGAGACCCCATAGGCGGCAGGGGCTGGAGAGAACATCAGCGAATTAAGACTCGAGATGCATATAGTCAGTATGGTAAATGTTATGTTCATTAACGGGACTGAGCAGGTGTATTTGAGCTGTAAACTAAATAATGAAACTGTTCTTCGATGAAACACAATGGTTGATACGGTTTACCCAAATTGATGTTTTGGCGTGATTTGAGTTGATTTTTCCCAGTACTTTGGGGCTTTATATTCTTCAGAACGAAAAATACATTTCAAATCATGGTCAACATCCTCGGTCAAGATACTTATCCCCGAATTGATTGATTGTGTGATTGTAGTTACAGCGCTGGTGAGCTGGGAATGAACTCAAAGCTTCACCCCTCCTTAAAACAGACTGTTGCCACGGTTGTCCACCCGACTGTGGGACCAGTTCTTGGAATGAAATGTTCATTTCGAGAACCCTGCTCTTTACTAACACTGTAGATACTGAGGAAACACCTTGATGCACCAGTATCCATAGAAATCAATGGCTGTTCGCATAGACCCTTTCTGACTGTCATTCACACCTTTTTGGCCTTCGTTACTTTATGCTCCTTGTAGTGTGCACGGGTGCATGTGCACACGTTTGCATGCTAAGTAACCGGGCAGATTCTATAAAACAAAAGGGTGGATCATCAAAGTGGAAGGAACCAGGCAAAAGATCCAATCAGACAGCCTGAACCCGAACACACGGGGACACACAGAGTCCCAAACGAGCCAATGAATAAATCAGAAGGCTAAGTCGCTGGGCGGAATTTACAATACCAAATAGGAGGTCGCTAATGGGTACGGGCCACACATACACACACATTAAGGCAACACTTTGCATTCACTTGTTAACCACAATGTGGGGACAAATGGAGATGGGTGGGAAGAAAAGGGGTGAGGAGGAGTGAGAAAGGGGTGAGGCGACTCTGCATGACTTCTTCGTTAACCACAGGACTGAAGGGACCTCGCACGCCTCGCACGGGACACCCGTCCCACCAGACTTTACACACACGCTCTCGCCCATTAAGACTGAGGGGAACCAGTGCGGTTTGCAGTAAAACGGGTGGGAAACATGGCAAAGCTTTGGATGATCAGAGGCCCCATCAATCGTTGGATGGCTCTTCGCTGTTGGCGGTTTCTTCAGACTTCGGAGGAGGTTAGAGTCAACGGGGAAGTGTAGCGAAGCAAAGAGGGCGACCAAAAATAGAGATGCCTGACGACATCTTTCCAAACCAACAATCTCGACATACAGCAATGTAGTGAAACTGCAAGAAAAAATGAGAGGTTTGTCTCTGTAAGCCTTATCCCACTGCCAACCTTGACATGACCACTGACTGCCAGGCCTTGCAACACACACATACATGTGCAGCCACCCAGGCGGCATGCACCCGGCTCTACCTTGATGCCTGAGATTGTGGAGTATGCTGGCACCACTGCATTATTTGTGGGGAAAAAATACATCAAGCATCAGAAAAAAAGAGGAAATGGCTTCACTTGAGAAACTATATCTGTGCAGTCTTACAAGACGAAGTTCAGCAGCCATTCAGATATTTTGGTGGATATTACATTTAAGCGATTGAGGAGGTCGGTCGGAAGGAAGTGAGAGAGTGGGAGGAGGAGCGATGAAGAAAAGAGGAGAGGAAATGAAGGATCTTTATTGAAGCTCTGTCTTCCTGCTGCAGCTGACGGAGGCGGGGGGGAGGGAGAGAGGCGCTGTAAAAAATTAAAAAGAAATTCAAACCTCATTCAAGACCTCTGTTAAAATATTATAATTTTTTTGAACCGTTTAATCAGCAGCAGTGTCAGTATCTACTAACAAGCACTGTGTCTGTATCACTACCTGATGTTTGCTCTTCCTCTCAGCCATAGAGCTCCGTCAGAACATTAAAACACATAAGGCTGACATTAAGTTGAACACACTGTAGGTTTTATGAACTCACATTCACCGGAACAAATACAACAAATGAGGATTAATCCACCTCTGAATATGGTCCCAAACTTTGCCCTACTTACGCCGGCAGTGTGCTGTTTTAGCAAAGTAGGGAAGACAACAATTTGTCACATTTTTAAAAATGTTTAATCTCATATGTGTCAGGTGTGAGAAAGTCACGGTAATAGAGGCCTGTCTCATTGTATTTAGGTTTTAGGGAGAAAGACTGCAATTCACCATCATTCCAGATCGTATTACTGATACTGATTTAGAATTAGCACTGTTTTCCGATTGGAACATTGAAATGAATTAAATTCAACCAAAATGAAAACAAACTGGACGGTGTTGGAATCTGGGATAAAACCACCCGCTGTGTGTGGACATCTTTTTCAGGGGGAGGTACAGGCATCTAACAGTAGGGCCCAACTGTATGTTGTGTGGACAGATCGCCATATGGAAGCCACTGCATGTGTAGACCGTATGTGTAGCGTGCGTATGAGTGTGTGTGTGTGTGTGTGTGTGTGTGTGTGTGTGTGTGTGTGTGCAATTCCAAAGGAGAAGATGGATCCACAGAATGCGTCCTGTGATTATTCCCAAACTTCAAAAAGAGAGTCAGAGATCACAGCTGGAAAAATGACCCAGAACACAGAGGCGGGTGTGGGGTATTATGGATTGTGTTTGTGTGACTCTGAATCTGTTAACATCCAGAAAATGACATGTATGTCCAATCACGGCATGATGTATCATGTTGTAAAAGCACAGAAGATGTTTTCCAACTGTGAGTATACCGGGACCAGCTGATGACAGTAATGCGAGAAAAGGATCTTTTAGATTTGTCAGCCCTGCTGTGTGAACACAGTGGGACCGGTTGAGAAATAGTTGTTCACATTCAATTGTGGGAGGAGTTTCTGGTAAAACAATACAACTAATTTCTCAAGTCCAACCTTCCTCTCTTTCATCTACTCCATCCCTTTTTCCGTTCCCTTCTCTCTGACTTCCCAACATCAGCAGCCTGCTGGAAAACATACTTCATCTCCTTGTGAGCAAATGCGTGTGTGGCAATCAAATGTGAAGGTGGAAGATGGTATTCACTTACTTACATTTATACATGCTATTGTATACTATACTGTGTCATCAGAATATGTCATCATAATATCTATAACATATAACAGCAGAGAACTATGTACCAATGTATTCATGTTAAAAGCAAGTAATGTGTGTGTGTGTGTGTGTGTGTGTGTGCGAGGGAAAGAGAGAGGAGGGGTTATAATAGATAGAGGAGATAGTGAGAAGGAAACGAGGAGGATGTGTGTGGCAGAGCGGCCGTTAAAAAGACAAGGCCTCACACACACACACACACACACACACACACACACACACACACACACACACGGCCAACAGACATTTTGAAAGAGTGAAACAAGATTAAGCAAACTGCACTGTCTTCTTTAAAGGACCATTCCAAACTGTTTCATCCACCTAGCAGTGTAACTGACAAGCAAGTAGTCGTGAAATTCATCTTTCATCTTCACAATAATTAAATGG